TGTTATGTTATGCTACGATCCAAATACAGTCCAAGGTATTTGGTTTCATTTGCTTGGGGTATTTGTTGCCTATTCAGTGATGTTAAATGGATTGACTGTGTCGTGCATGAGGGTGCGGGTTCGAAACCTACCAACAGCAAGTCCCAATTTAACTTTTTCCATGAACTTTTTAAGATTATTCAGACACCACTGACAAACGGTAAAGGAAAAACATCGTGAGGAAACATAAGCTTATAATTTGCATTGAGAAAGCGTGGTGATTAATGCTCAAACTTTCTGTGTGAAAAGAGGCTTTGCTCAGCTGTGGGCATTTATAGGCTGTTGATGATGATGAAATGGATTGAGTAAACTACCTGAGTTTGAGGCCTAAAGCAAATTATGAAAATGCATGGTGTACTTGATGGCTCGATACAAATTGAATTGAATAATTAGGTAAATTAATTACGATGTGTAAAAATTCTGGCCTTAAATGTGTATGGTGGTAGCATATAATTTATGGCATTTGATTTATGTTGTAGTTACCTTCAGAAATATTGTCTGTATAATATAACGGTGTTCTATTCCAGTTGGACTGCCCGGCGGCTCTGGAGAGGATAAGGGAGAACAAACCCAACCTCATCAAGGATGACAAGGGCAACACCAACAAATACATCGCTGAGATTGTTTCGGTGAGTAATCATATTAGTCTGTCTGCATATTGACTATTATAATAAGCACTTTGTATCCTATTTCTGAGAGGCAAGAACTTTTTCAATACATAATTATCCTACTAAAGTCGTGTAATTAATGGAAAAGGGTCCATTCATCAACATGTTATTATTATTAATTGGTTTTATAACTAGGTTTTCTTCAAGTTAACAAGCTAATGTGCCAAGTCCAATTCTAGTCTAGCCTCGGTGTTATTTTTGAGAATTTTAAAAATTTAAATGTCAAAATCAAGTATTGGAGTATTTACATGAATGATGACTACTAACTATAAATTTCAGGAAATTTTTCGTTTAATAACTGCTTTATTGTAATGTAATAGTGCGATATTTTAAATTCGTAATTTATTCCTCAGCTATTTATAACCCTGATGGACAAGCTCCGTCTGGAGTTCCGCGCGATGGACATGATCCAGCCGGAGTTGCGTGACTTGCGCGACACCATGGACAGACTCATCATGCTGCCCGAGGACTTCGAGGGGAAGATCAAGGTAAACTCATGTTGCTTTGGGCTCGGCTTACATCTAGATCCTAAGTTTAAAAAAGCGGCTTGAAAAACAAATTTATTTTCTACCTACACTAAAAGATACACATTTGATGCATGCATTTTGCGGTGGTGAGCCACACGAGCGCGAACTCCAATATAAGGACTCGGAGGACGATAAGGAATCAATCCAAAATCAACATGTTTACGAAATTTTTATAAATCACTACTTAGTATGAAACAAAGTCGCTATCCGCCGTCTGTATGTCCCTATGTAAGCTTAGATCTTTAAAACTACGAAACGGAATTTGATGCGCCTTTTTTTAATAGATAGAGTAATTCTTAAGGTTAATATCTTATCTTATACTATTACATAAAGCGGAAGAGTCTGTTTTTTGTTTGTTTGTTTGAACGCGCTAATCTCCGTAACTACAAGTCTGATTTGAATAATTCTTTTTGTGTTGGATAGCGCATTTATCGAGGATGGCTATAGGCTGTAAAACATCACGCTATGACTAATAGGAGCTGGGCAGTATAATACATCCATATTGCACCCGTGTGAAGCCGGGGCGGGTTGCTAGTAATAAAATAAGTAACTGGTGCTTACGTCCCTACAGGTACAAGAATGGGTAGACAAGCTGTCAGAGATGTCAGCATCAGACGAGTTGTCAGAGAGTCAGGTGCGGCAACTACTGTTTGACCTGGAGACTTCGTACGGAGCGTTCAACAAGTTCCTGCACAAGGACTGAGGGGTGGCTTAGGTTAGTATGACTGTAAAAAGTTAAGATATCAGTTTGTTGAATGAAGTTATTGCTAGAAATGTTTAAAAAAAGGTTTTGCTGTTTTTATTTTAGTGTTGTATGTGCTAAAAATCATATCTTCATATTACGCAGAGTTTCCGTTGACACGTCAATTTATGCATTAATCAAATGTGAATAATGATCACAATATGTGCTTGCTTCACGTCGATTTTCTGGTCGGCCGTGGTATCACTCCGGTCGAACCGGCCCAGCAGTGCCACAAAATTCATACATATTTCTTTACAAAAACTATTATAATAACATCATCATCACGCCTTTTATCCCCGAAAGGGTAGGCAGAGGTGCACACAGAAGTAACACCCACTTTTCACTATTTATGTTATGAGTCCCATGTAATGCCATATACCGGGCACATTTCCAGACTCCGTGCTACTACTGAGGATTTTTTAAAAACCCAGTAATACTTTGCCCGACCCGGGAATCGAACCCGAGACCCCTTGCCCGGCAGTCGCACTTGCGACCACTCGGCCAACGAGGCCTATACAAAAACTATCTTTTATGTAATTGGATCATTTAACAAAATGGTTATCAATATTTGTATTCAATCTTCCCATTTTCTATTACAGATGTGACCAGCTCAAACAGCGTTGTGTACTCACCAGTAGCTTGTTTATGTGAATATTATTAAATTGTTAAGTATATATATACCCTAAATAATATAAATATTGTCTCAAACGTATTGTTACATTATTTGCTCTGCATATCAAGCTCATAGCTTCATTTCATTAATGAAATATACGAGAAATTGTGTTTAAATTGTTGTAATGTATTGTGACACACGAATATAGTCTTTAATGTCCATGTTTTAAATTCTACTTCGTATTGAAATGCTGTAAAAGAGGAGGTGGTTGTTCACTAGTATCCTTTTGTACATTAAGATTTACATTTCTTTATTATAACCAATTAAAATGTCCACTAAAAATTTGATTGTTTAGAATATTGTTTCATTGTTAATAAATATTGTGTGTCTAATAGGTACATTTTATTATAATGCAGTATGTCATTCCATAACATTAGCTCAGGTTGCGCCTTCATTGAACTAGTCACAAAGAAAATAATTTCTATAAGCACCTCTGATTCTCTGCCTACTCTTTCATGAATAAATCCTATATAAACACAATTGTTTTGTTTAGCCTGTACTGAGCAATGTATTATCTAAATATTTGAAACTCATACGATTTATTATAGACATTGTGATGTCGTTTTTATTGTTAAGTGAATTTACTACGAATAAATTTTATATTCCACACGAACAAGCTTTTATATTTTGACTAGCTTCTGCCAGTGGCTTCGTCCGCGATCCCTGAGGATAAAAAGCAACTTATGCGTTATCCCAGACCATAATCTATCCTTGTTATAAATTTCATCTCGATCCCTTCAGCCATTTCGACGTCAATGAGTAACAAACAAACACATACATATATTCTAACAAACTATAATATTAGTTTTTTTTAAGGGGTTAAAATCATCGAATGACTGTTCTCGCCTGGGTGAGGCGGGAGGGAGTGTCAGACTCTTACTCACTAACCACCACCCCGTTCCTTCTCCTGCACGTCGAGCCGGAGCCCCGGTTACCCGTTAGGTTCTCCGCGACTCCGAATCGGCATCGGCCCTGTTGGGCCCCATCTGTGGTGGTCTGATGGCTCATTGGCTCGTACGCTCGGGTCTGTTTCTGGTCGGACGGGGAGCCACCCATGCTCGCCGTCCGCAGGCCCGCGCTTACGGTGGCCGGAGATCGTCCCGCGATAACTATAATATTAGTAGGATTGTAACTTGAGCATGTGTGTGTTGTGTATGCATTGTGGCCTGCAAATCAAACTACTCCTTACCATTTCTTTATTAGATTTTCAATGCTATTGTTTAGGTGTAAAGTCGAAAATCCAATATAGATTGGAGTAGGTTAATGGCTGTACAAGTTAATTTTTTAAATATTCCTGTATATATAGCACAAGGCGAACTTAATGCCTAGGGCATTTTCCCCAAGTTGTATAATATCTGCCTATCGCTTTTATGTCTGCATACTTGACAAATATGTACGCGGACGAAAATATAGCCTGAACCATTCAATTACTGTCCAAGTTATAAAATTAATTACCATGAACTATTAATTTTAGATAGTAAAACTGTTACTTAAAAGGAAATGCGAGATTGACTTCTATTTACAAGGGCATACTTTTTATTTTTGTTTAAAACATTGGTCCATAATTTTTTGCAGTAACTTTAGTCAGTATCTTAGATAATTTGAAAAATATTTCGTGTTTTCCAACTAAGAAAATATAACTAAATATCTATTTCAAATATTGTTTCTTTGAATTCCCAATTCTATGTCATTCTAATATACCTAGTTCAAAAACGGATGACACTTTATTTACTGTGATGAGTTTCCTGTACAGATTTAGCGTGCCATTGATCATAATTATAGCTGTAATAAGTTATTTAGAGGTGAGTCATCATTAGTATCAGGAACTCCCCCCTTTAGGGGAATATTATATTCTCTAGATACTCTTAATCATCCAATAAGGCTCTAAGTCTTATCTCTGTCTTCAGGCCCAAATCTACCTCTTATCTACTTTTAAATCTTAATATTGGTGGATAATTAATATAGACTAAAAATGGGACCCAATATTGAACCTTGAGAAACACCGATTTTCATCTCATCCCTGTGAGTTACTACCATTTACATGAACCTTTAGGTGAACCTTTAAGGCTAATATGAGCCGACCAGCGAGTGAATCCACGCGGAAATAGAAAGTAAGATAAAACGTTGCCTATTTAAAAATACTCCATTTTATCACCCTCAGTGTTCAAACAATGTGTTCCAAAAAATGGACAAGAAATACTACTTGGTGTCCGAAGCCTACAATATGGCGAAGAATCTCTTCAACCAGGGTCGTGCCAACTACATCAGTTTGAAGAGCAAGTCCTTAAGAACTATCGACACGTTCCTCGACTTGGTCTACATCATGAACGATGAGATGTCCAAGGAACTGAGGAGTGCGGTCCTCAAGTTCTACAAAGTGAAATACTTGCATGATTTCACCAATTACATTATTAGTATGGAAGAGGTAAGAATGGTAGTTCGAAATTTTTTAGATAGATTTAGTGCAGTCATGCAGTGGCGGGTCCACTCTTTTGTGGAACGGAGTATGGAGTTAAATAGTTTAAAAAAATTTCTTGCCCCTTGATCATAAGAGCTTTAAAGTGCAACAATAGGTAATGTCTACCCATTTTGGAGGACCGTAGTGTAGTTGTAGTTGTGTTTTTAAGCTTACTTAGAACAAGTGTCTAATATCTACTCGCACCTTCAGATGATAGAAGTAATAGAGCACTGCCTAATAGACCCGATGGAGAAGTTGGACCAGATCAGGACGCAGTTCCAAGACGTCATTAAGAACTTCCAGGATGTGAGGAACTTCGACTCTGTGAACAAGTGCCACAAGGAACTGCCGGATGAGGTCGCTGCTGCACACTGTTTGCTGCATCAGGCCGTACTGTAAGTATGAAATGGCCATGGGTAAGACGGTTAAAACCTTCGAAAGTTGATCAAAATACTTAGTACCCACTTATGTAGGTGGATGACAAGATCAGAATATAAAATACTGCTTCTTTTTATAGCTTTAACGAAACGATGCAAGAAAGTTTAGTAACGATAGTAGAAATAAAGACGAGACAACATGCCCAAGACATGAACACTTCTTTGTACAACGTCCAAACCTGCATCAACAACTTTGTACCGAAGTTTTTCGAGCAACTTATGCTCGATGCTTACACGGAAAGATGCGGCTACCTCCGCGTAGTCAACGCTTCCATAGCAGATCTAATAAGAGACAAGTGGAGAGGCAACGAAACCGTATTCCCGGAGAAATGGAGCCCCTTGGTGCGGTTATTGAAAGAGAAGTAAGCTACCCATTTGTTTACTTTTTATTTTAGGACTAGTGTCACAAATTAGTTTCTATTATTTTAATTTTCAGTACTTGGCTTATAACTTAAATATTATAACTTATTTTACCGAAACTTATAATAGTAGGTAGGTACAAGAAATATTCCTTTTTTCTTTTGTTACAGAACAAAGCAACCCGTCAGTGCTTTAGAAGAACCGTTACATTTGACTCTTTTTGCAGCGAATCTATCATCTCAAGATATTGTCAGAACTTTATATAAGTAAACAATAAAAGATGTAAATGCAATGATTGTTAATACTTTACCAAAGCCATACTGATATCTTATTTCATACAAAAATAATAACTGCTTAATTATTTATTGCCGTTATTATTGTTATAATATGCTTATCAAGTTATCACAAACCAGTGAAGCACGTTTTGCTCATGTGACTTTTAGTTTTCCTTGCTCGCTGGGTGTGACGATAACAAGCTATGTCATTGTTTTTACTGGTAAAACCAACCCGTTTATTAACTGATACTAATTGATGAGTGTATTCAGACTGTATAGCATACGTAGTCTTGTTACGATGTCGAGAACAAAAGAGTAAAACGAAACTTCAACAACATCTGTCAAAGTGTCAAACAAAAGTAGAATGTGTCAAAAAAACGCGCGTACGTTGTTTGTTTGTTGTTCAATCATGTTTTTGTGATTTTTGATCAAAAATTAGCATAAAACAGCCAAAAATGACTAAATCAGTTCGTGAATTGCTCCAAAATGGGCGTTCATATGATGAAACTGATCGGATGCCGGATAAAATAACTATAACTAACCTGGATATTTTTATGTATCTGGTGGCTATTGTGGGTCATTTTGTGGACTTAGGTCTAGATATTAATATAGCTGTAAGGTATTCTATAGCTCTGAAGATGACGGAGTTCGGATGGACGCTGGCGTTTATCCTTGTGCCTGCGTTTGTCAACACTGCTGTTTCTATAAGGATGTAAGTGGCTTTGTTTACATACATTAGAAATAATTATAAATAAAAAACTTGACTAACATAGAATAAAGATCTATAACTTAAATTAGAAGTGGTTTAATGTAAAGTAAATCTTTAATATTTAGAGTCAAAACTATCTCAAAAGTTTTAGGGAAACAAATTTTTTTGGGTATGGTTCTAGTTTTAAATTGAACATGTTTTGATAACTTTAATGGTGTTTGCCTTGACTTCCATCACATTTATTTTTAGGATACAAAACAAGTAATTATTTATGTGCACTTTCCTGTTATAAAATCCATTTCTACTATTATGTTATAAAATTAGACAAACAATGTAGTTATGATTAACTAATTGGTTTCAATTTTATTTTGTTGGATCCCCAAACAGTAACAGTTATGTTATTAATCTCATATAATAGAAGGTGTAAAAAGAGACAGACCTCTGAGTTTGTTTCAGCATTTCTTCTCAGAGTAGTCAGTTAGGAAATGTCGACCTCATCGTTCGCTTGATAAAATTGACGTGTAAAAGTGCTGCCTTGTAGCCTATTTGTAGAAATAAATTCACTTGTTTCACTTGGTGTTTCAGGAGACTTTCGTCAAACACCAGCCTCAATTCCAGAATCATCCTTATATTATAAGTTAAAAAAAAACTGGGTACTCTATACCAAACTGCTTATTTATTTTTAAAATAAATATTTGAAATCAGAAATCTCTTCTATTAACCTCTTTTCTATATGGTACTTTCCTCTCATTTTCAGGTACTGTCTAGACAAGCAACAGGACTCTCTTTCGAATGAGTTCACAAAACGCAAGTGGCTCCGTATCTTCATACTAGTGTTACAGCTGGCTCCTATACTGCGGTTTGCTGATGCTCTCATGTAAGATATATTTTTAATCTTTTGAATACTGCAGTAAAAGCTGTACTACGTCGCAGCGACCGTGTACGCTGCTCATTAGGAAGAACCCCTCTGTGGCCTTTTTTTTATGGCATAAACCGGTAAACGAGCAGACGGATCACCTGATGGTAAGCAATCGGCGTCGCCCTTTGACACCTGGAACACCAGAGGCGTTACAAGTGCGTTACCGGCCTTTTGGGGATTAGGAGTTTGAGGATCGTTGAAGATTCAGGAATTGGGGAGATTGGGGAAGGAGAGGGTAATTGGGCCTCCGGTAACCTCACTCACACGACGAAACACAACGCAAGCGTGGCATCACGTCGGTTTTCTGTGAGCCTGTGGTATCACTACGGTCGAGCCGGCCCATTCATGCGAAAGCATGGCTCTCCCACACTTAAAACTTCGAAACTAGTAGAGCTTTTCTCAATATATTCACGTGAGTAACCCGGGATTTTATTACGATTTAGTAAATTTAGTATTTCTCATTAAGTTAATATAAAAGATGTAATTTGAAAGTCCTTGGTTGAGACGTACATTCTGCAGAGGATGTCTAGTGGCTCATATTCTTATTTTGATGAAGAAAAACCTGTAATTAGGAAACATTTATGATTAACTAGCTTCTGCCAGCGGCTTCACTAGCATTCCCATTAGATAAAAAGTAGCCTATGTTTTAATCCAGACCATAATCTACCCCTGTTCCAAATTTCATCGCAATCCCTTGAGCCGTTTTGATGTAAAAGAGTAATAAACAAAAACACATACTCACAAACTTTCGCATTTACAATATTAAGTAGGATTAGTCATAGAGCACCACAGGCCACTGGCCCTTTAGATTTAGTAATTAATTCTTCATCAGAGATATATATTTCTGATAAAAACACAGATTAGTTAATGTATGGAGTGTATCCTAGACTTCCAGTATTTAGTAAATCAAAAACTTTGTCATTTTAAAAACTTTGCTATATTAATTTTTGTAAGGGGATTATTTGTTGTTGGTTGATATTTTTATGATCATCATCCGTAGCTATGCAGTCAAGTCTCGTCGTGCGGAACGTAAGCAGGACTCAGCTACACAGCGGAAGTATTACAGCCTGATGCTGAAGGAGGACTCGGATGCAGCACTGCTTCGGATCTTCGAGTGCTTCCTGGAAGCAGCGCCACAGCAAGTCTTACAGACTAGTTTGTTGTTGAGAGCTAACCCGGATTTTACTGGTGAGTCCAGTGAGATTGAACGCTCTATGATTTCGAGTACATTTAAAAGTAGTCTGCAATATCCTGACGACGTTGTGTTTACTAAAATGGAATTAAATTTTAACCTAAATTTAAAGTGCTAACTCCTAATCACTATACAGCATCCGTTCTTACATCCTTACTGCATGCTTGATATCATTTCCCATTAACAGATATTTAAATATTTTAGTGTTACAAATAAATAAAAATTATTTGTATTTCAGTTCATCAGGTCCTGTCGATAGCGTCGTCTATAGTGGGTATGGGCTGGTGTCTCGCGGCGTACCAACGCGCCGTGCGGTTCTACCAGCAGGACAAGTATAATATGAGCTGGATTGGCACCGCGTTGCAGACTATCTGGCATTTTCTTGTTACTTGTAAGTTCTTTTAAAATTGCAATTTCTATTTACAGAAAAGTAGTTTATTATTTTTGAAGTTTGTCTTTAATTTATTTTTTGATATAATTCTTCATGGTATCTTATGTTTGCATGAGAATAGGAGTCTAAAACGCATATATTTCTATTCCAGTGAGCCGCATAATCTCAATATCAGTGATCGCGTACCTGTTCCCTCATTGGACGGTCCTAGCGTGCGCTATTCACGTCTTCATCACCGCTACGCTGATACAACTCTTTGACCGTTCTCCGTTCTGCTCACACAACCGCCTTGCCGATATCGCCTTCTCTTTCGCACTTGGAGCGGTATACATCTTCACCTATATCCTCCCAGTAGAAGGCAAAACAAGATATAGGTATACTATCTACTACAGTATATGTTTTATACAGAATCTCGCTTGTGGAGCCATCTGGTACATATTCGTGTCCGATGAAATGAGGAACTCGATTTATTTTTTCCCAGTTTTAGCATTTACTGTGGTGCCCTACGTTGTAGGTCTAGTTATAATGGTCATCTATTATAGGTTCTTTCACCCGGAAATCAGTAAACGAGGATTTAGTGTTACATTTGTTAGTGACCGAGTCATAACTAATAGTTAACATTTAAAGATTTAAGTAACTATACTCAATGAATATTGAGATTGTTATTATTACTGTACCGAGTTACATATCAGTATGTATGTACTGTAATGCTGCTTAGAAACGTGTTTTGGACAGTTACAAAACAATTTAAGCGGGTTTAGGTGCTACTCACCATTAAAGTTAATCTCAAATATTAGTCTGGCCACTGCCTGTGGCCTGCGGTGCTCCATTTGTCAACTCATCTATGGTCAAAATAGGATCTGAACAATTTTTTTTTCTTTTATATTAGTACCTGTCTATTGTGTTCATACCTTTTCTTAGTTACCGTTTAATTTGAGATAATTATATTATGCTTGTTAATTAATTGGCGAAATGTTTTTTTACTAAATAAACATAATAATTATAATTTATACCTAAATGATGTAGCATTGTAATAAATATCCAAAAATAGGATTACCATTTTGTTAAATTACACTATAAGTCAAAGTCGGACATACATTTCATCTAAATTTTATTGTCTGTCAATATGTGTGTCAGGGAAGCTATCGTTCCAAAGTGTAGTTTCGAATGGAGAAGAACGAGCCAGATTGTTACCTACTCTTACGTTAAACGCCATGGCGGTCACTGGAGACCGATATTAGCCGAGAATTTGCCTTCAACAGTTTTTTATAGGCAGTCAAACCCTTAAAGAGTGACCATGATTCATTGATACATTATTTAATCCTGTAATTTAATCTCTATTTTTGTAAAAGTGCTAGAGTATTTTGACCGATAGTAGCTTCCAAATTATAGGTGCAAGATTAGTACTAAGTGCTGGGGAACCAATTTCTTTATTAAATAAATACTTAATATCAATAGGCATGATAAGACTGCATAGCAATAAGTATTGTACATTTTATTTTCTGTTTAAGGAACTTTTTTACACTAGTAAATATTGTAATACTGATATTTTTGTACTTAATCTTTTTGAATCTTTATGAAAATTATCTGTGAATCTCAAATGATACTCGCAAAATTTTTAATAAATAATTTTACATATAAACCTGTTTTATTTTGATAATATTGATTCAATCTAATTGTATCGTGAAGTAATACGATTTTTTAGGGAAGTAAAACTAAGAACGAATAATTAAATACATATTTATTATTATCACCAAATAAATGGCGCGCGTTCTCTAAGTATCCTTAAACCGAATCTGTTCCATTCGCTCTGGTTGATCCACAACTCTATAGCAGATTCCAAACACGACATCACTGCCGCCCCCTTCCATACAGTACTGGCTGGATCAATGTCTTTAGGAGAAGTCACTATTTCCAACTGTTCAGTCTTATATGTGTATGGAATCTGCAATGCTAGCCTGTTCTGAAGCCACAAGTTCAAGCCATGGACTTTAACTCCGCCACCAACTATCAATATGTTGCTGTACATCTTCCGTTTCAACTCCTCATTTGGACAGCGGTCTATACTTTGCAGTATTGCGGCATCAAGCGCCAGTACCTGTCCAGGTGCTAACGAAACTACATCGCTTGGACCGCCTTCAAGAGTGTCCACAACTATATCCTCATCTGCATTAGCAGTAGGTTGAGCTTCACTGGTCGCTTCAAATTGCTGGCTCTCATTGGCCGAAGGATCCACAGTTTCCCTCTTCCTCCCAGTTTCTCTTAAAAACTCTGCATCAAAAGGATCTTCAGGGTCACTTGGCTGTCTGTTCTGTATTTTGGTAGACTTAGAGCCAGTGATCTTCAGTAAATCTGTGTAGAACATTGATAACGGTGATATTATGCACTCATCTCCAACTTGCAGTGTGTACTTGTTTACTACATCACCAGGATGGTCTACTAGAAATGATTTCTCTTGAGGCCCACACACATCCAGGTTCACATGACAGAAGTTCTCATATAGATTCCTCATGAGTATCACATCTCTAGGTATGTTCTCATTCCAATTCTTGTAAGGGAATGCACTCTTGTGGAACATCCACGACAGAGCTTGGCAGACATCTCCTGCGCCATAGTCCATTCTCAATCTAGTTGTCTTATGTGAGATCCCGTCTTCAACACAAGATATGGCAGTTTTCTGGTCTCCAATGTCTACCACACATGCAGATCCTATACCAGCTCCGAATGTGGCTCCAACACTCTCCTGTACAAAGAAGCAATGTCCAAAACCCAAGTCCTTCAATAACAACAGCATTAAATACTTTAGATGGCTCCTGGAGTATAAATCAGGTATAAGCAGTACGCATCTGTACTTTACTAGTTCTATTAGAGGTATGCCTAGCTTGTACTCTATAATAGAGCTCCATATAGTGTATAGGTCATTGAGAACTGAAGAGATAGAGCCTCCCACTTCAGAATGTATGTTGAAATCACCTCTGCGGTATGGAAAGTGGATGTTGTAGGGTAGCTCAGGGTCTATGTCAAGTACTAAGTCACCGATCACAATGTCACACTGAACTTGTGGCCAGGGATCTCCATCATTAACACATTCTGGTAAAGAGCGACGGTTGAAAGCTGCGATTTGCTGCGGTGGCGTCGCGTACCTTCGTGCTCCGTTCGACTGTACACATGACTGTAACGTGTGAGATATTTGTAGACGACATTCTTCTAATTCCTCTATCAATTCCTTAGTTTTTGGCACACTTGGAGGGATGAAGGAATCACGGTAGATCTTTCCTCCTGGACGACGTTTTCTTGCTATGCAGTGCAGTTGTTTCACTGGTATGAGGTCTGAAGCTCTTCCTATACGAACATATAGTGATCCAGGGTGGATAACGATAATTCTATTCGATGGGAACTGCTGGAAATGCTCCGGACCCGGCTCGAAAGATGGCATACTCATTTGTAGAGGCTTAACTACTTGTTTTATGTGTTATAATAGGTGTATCTCTCGCACTGTTATAATATTTTATTTTCGACACATACATGTGTATTCACCATTCATTTATATTTTTTCTTGAATTCTTTTTACAAAAATAACACATCTGTAAACATAACCTATAGGCTTGACAAGTTTGACAACTGTTTCGATTTGACTTTGACAAAGGGGCAAGAGATGCTTTTTCTGGTTGCCTTTTTTCGGTCAATATTCAGCTGTATATGTTTGCAATAAAAGTAATTTAGTAATACTACAACTATAGTCAAAACTGAAATTATGTTGTCGCAAAATTTTTTAAAGTACATCTATTTCTCTTAGAGTGAATCCGAACCAAAAGAACGAATGAAAAACTGACCCCTGTCAAACTGCTGTCGAAAATTCTGATATTTCTGTCAAATTGTCACAAGACACAAATGTCATCCGCTGTCTATCGTCGTGTCACGAAATCAGAGAAAATAAACACTTTTCCCGAATTTTTAACAGTAAAATAATAAAAATCATTCGCGAAAATGGTTTCTAGGAGTTTAACTGAAGTGTTTGTGTTGATGCGTAACAATGCTATACACAGCCGGCACATATTTGCGGACCAGGCAAGTAGTTTCTTGTTATTGATTTATGTTTTGTCCATTACTTTTGAATATTATATGATGCAATTACGAGCGTTTAGCAATTAATTAAAGTGTGATAATATAGCAGAGTTTATGTTTGTGACGGTTATTTAAAATCTATAGTATTTAACCTAGAGGCCGACAAACTAAAACGTTTATAAAACTGCAAGTATATGTCGACAATCTCTCTTAGATGATTTAAAAAGGCTTTATAGATAGTAAACAAATAAATGTTCGTGGTTACAAACAAATAAACACTTGTAAATTAATATCTATAGCCATTTTTGCAGTATAAACCATAATTTCATTGGTGTAGAATCACGAAATAATTTTATGTTGAAAATGTAACAATTTAACTATATTGTTGATCATGTTCTAGCGTCCAAACACGGGACAGGTATGAATGCTTGTAAATGTTGTAGAAGTGATATTGTAGAGCCTATAAGAAACCACTTATTTTTGTGACTGTTGTGAAAGAGGAATGCTGAAATTATCTTCGCCTTGCAGAATTACCATTTATTTTTGTCACTTGCATGTTATTTTAAATGAATTGTGCTTTTGAGCAATATCAAAGTCTGTTATTACATTATAGTTGCCATATGATAGTTTTTAAAATTATGTATTTTTCCGTCATACACTATATCCTTCAGTAATTTTTTAGTTAGTTGTTTTAGTTTAGAGTTCCATTTATTAATGTTCATAATAGTAAACAACATGAAGGAAGAATCTGATTATATTGAAACTTTTTTGATACATACTAAGTTGATTATTGTATTTTTGACTTACTCACGAAACTGTTTGACAAGGAACTCAACTAGTAAGCCATGCTAGAGGCTCATATCCATGAGCAGCATGACAGTCGAGTTCCTCATCAAACAGTTAACTAAGTAAGCCGAAAACATCATAATAATTAATTAAATATGAATCTATTACTTATCAGTTTCAATATCATGACAAAAATGTCACCTACCTAATATGTAAGGTCAACGATTAATATCATTTACAGCTGAAAAAAAAAATGCATGTTTGTTTGCTTAAACCTATGCTACCTATACTAACAACTAATAACATACATTTATTATCAACAGCACAATGACTCGGAGAGGGTACGTCTCATGCGGAGTAACTCCCATGACTTGGAGTCCGGAATGGAGATGAGGACAGACTCCCACGCGCCTCCGCCTTGGACCGATGCACTGGAGGAAGCACACTATGTTATCACTAGGTTTGTATATGACTCATTTGCATTATGAAATTGGATTGTCATAATTATTGTGTGGTTTTAAGCATATTGATTATTATTCTGTATATTATAAATTATTAGTTATGAGAAAAGAATTTTTACATACTTGTTTAAGTCCTAGTCTGCTGTAACAGATCCAAGGAAGGAAATATCTAAGAATACAAAGGATGACGGGCAGAATATACCTACCAACCAATGACATCCAGACATATATCGTTAGAAAGCTCTTCTCATGACTATCATTTGTTATTATGGGGGCTAGTCTCAATTCGTTGAGGGGAAAGTATTATAGTGACTTAAATTATCTATTAAACAAAGGATAATGCATCATCATTTCTAGTGTTTACTGTAGTGGCTGACAAGAGCTGAGAGACTGCACGGTTGGTGCGGTGGCTGGGCAACCGGCTGCCGTGCAACGTGTCGCGGGTTCGATTCCCGTACGGAACAACACTTTGTGTGATCCACAAATCGTTGTTCCGGGTCTGGATGTCATGTGTATGTGAACTTGTATGTTTGTAAACGCACCCACGACACAGGAGAAAATCCTAGTGTGGGGCAACGTTTTTTAAAGAAAAAAAAAGAGTATATTTTGTTTTATCTCCTTATTTCCCTGCAATCTGCCCAGTTAGGCATTTAGCTGGTGGTTCATAGGTTCATGTATTGTGACATGTACGGAGAATGCTCAGTGATGTACCAATCTTCAATTATTGCATCCCTCGAGTTTAGTTGCTACGACAGGAGAAGGTCCTGTGGAGTTCTCCTTTTGATTCGCTTAAAGGTGCTGGCAGACTTCATAAGCTCACTATACAAGAGTATATAATGAGGAAAAATAAATATAAAACCAATACAATATACTTTTTATTAACAATGTAGCAATAGTGAAAAGGGTTCATATTATATTTCGCTAATATCATTGCAGAAGTTTGTTCATAAATTATTTACAAAATACATATTATTAATACTATTTCATTACTTTCCTTATTAATATCTATAATGTAATTTAGCAATATTGTTGATAGTTTAATCTGTAGTTGTGATCTTAATAGGTAAGAGTGTTAGATGTTATCTACTGCCATTAATCATCACTACAAGTTTATCGTGGATATAATCTTTAAACTGTCAAACACCAAGCGGTCACCGGTGACCGCAACCTATTGTTCTATAATTGTGTCTACAAAACCGGTACTCGACGAGTTAATGCCTAAAATCTATGAGCCTTTCTACACAGTCGGGACTTACCACTGATCATAGTGTCCATTGCGTCGATTATATTTCATTGTATTCTAGAAATGCTGCTGTTGTCCAATGTGTGATTTGATTCCTGAGGTAAATAAATTATTTATGGGGTCCAGGAAAATTTCTACTGACCTCTATGCTTGGGTGTGACGTGTATCCATGTTTTAACTCTACTCGATACCACAGGAGAAAGTTTCATTGTGCAACATTGTATTTTATACAAAATACAAGACTAAACCTTTTGGTAGAAGATCAGAGAGAAAGAAGGTAAGGCTTCTTTCCTGAAGAGTATAACCTGGGTATCTTTAAGGCCCGAGTGAATAGGTTGCTTATGGGATGACGTGCGCCATAATAGGTTACAGCATCGCTTATCACCAGGCGATATAGAGGTCAAACGTCAGTCCCATCTAATATAAAAAAAAATAGAACGTACCTACTTAATACAACTGTTATAAAGACTAAACTATTTCTTCAGGTTAAGAACAAAACTATCAGAGCTACAGTCTCGTCATGAGAAGCAGATTCGACGTCCGTCGCTGGACGACACGACGGAGCAACAGCACATACAGCGCCTCACTGCGGAGATCGGCCGACACTTCACACATGCGCACACGCATCTTACTGCTATCAAGGCGCAGATACGACACGGTACGTTGGGATTTAGTAATAAGTATAGTATTCTTCTGTTGGCAATTAGCTCCCTATTTAAATGGCAGTCGATTCGAAATGAACAGAACAAAACCACGAAAGCTTAGGGCACAAAGAATGCAGATTTGTGTTTGCTTTTAATACTTTGTCAAAATAATATTATCTCCTATCTAGTAGATATTACGCACGCATGTATGTTGTGGTAAGATTTCAAAATGTAAAGAAACCTAGTTAATAGGTTTTTGGTAGTATACATACGGGGACATAATATTATCACGCAGTTACTATCAGTTTCTATGTACTTTAAGATCACTCACTAATTCCTCTGACACATGCACACCCTACTAAATAAAATGAAACAAAAATTCCAGGTAACCCAACGGAACAGAAGTTAGCGACGAATGTAGTGTTAGCGCTGGTCACCATACTCCAAGACCTGAGCGTCACCTTCCGTACAGCGCAGTCAACGTACCTGAAGTCCCTCACGTCTCGAGAAGAACGCTCCAACGCATACTTTGAACTCCCAAACTTCGAAGAACTGAGCCTCGACGACAACGAACTCCTCCCAGGTTTGTCCAACAACCAAACAGACCTACTATTCTCCCTCCCTAGCACTTCTGGCACTCAGAAGTTTGACGATAACGATGACTTCTCAAGACCAGCTCTCAACCAAAAACAACTATTACTTATGCAAGAAGAAAACACAAGAGATGTAGCGGAGAGAGAAGAAGAAGTGAATAAAATAGTTCGTTCTATAGTGGACTTGAATGATATATTCAAAGACCTAGCACATATGGTTCATGAGCAAGGCACGGTGCTTGATAGGATAGACTATAATATAGAGCAGACTCAAGTTCAGGTTCATGAAGGGTACAAACAGCTGCAGAAGGCGGAGAGGTACCAGCGGTCCAATAGGAAGATGCACTGCATCCTCATACTAGGAGTCACCATCATAGTGTTAGTAATCCTCCTCATCATTGTCAAGAGTTAGTTTTGGAGGTGACAGCAGAAATTGCCTTATTTTACGTAGTCGATTGGCCGAATGGCTGGACCGTGGATTGTTTATCGCTTCACCTTCAGATGTAGGACGCATGGGCGTAGCCACACTGGGGCAAGCTGAGGCACTTGCCCCACCCTGGGCCCTGGCTCTGACCCATAAGGTGTCTGATTAAACAATGATTTTTTTACTAACTCTAACTAACAACATCAACAATTATACTATCCGTAAGTAATTGCACAAAAAAATTGTCGACTTTGAAAAGAGCGCGATCAAAACAAAATGCACGCTTGAGTTCCCGAAAGTCCGACGCGTCCCAGGAACATGAGTAACTGTCTTGGTTCCCGCAACGAAGTGAATCAGAATAATATCTTCTGAGAATATCTTATAAGAGGAGAAGAAGAAAAAAACTATAGTTTCCACTTCCCTCGGTGAATTTCCTACTGCAGGAGACAGAATGAATTAAGCCTAAAGGCACAAAGAAGAGACTGTACAACTGGGTGAAGCCCAGTCGCCAAGCACCACGGAAATTGACTAATAACTAAGTGGGTCCTATGTGTGAGCTGTTATACTTGCTCCCAATAATAGGTATGGCAAAAGCGCCTAAACGCACGGAAATTTGGTCTAGATTCCACAAGGTCCGTATAATAAGCTACACCTGACGAATCAATTAAATTATTTAACATAGTGTTACGTGCATATTGCCAGAGATCACACTCCCAGAGTATGTGATGGGCCGACTGCTCGTATTGCAACTCCACTGTCGAACATTGGCACCATGGTGAATCAATAAGTTTAAATGAGGACAATTTGCTTTTAAAGTTGCCGTGGCCAGTAAGAAATTGGGCAACACAGTGATCCACCTCCAACCATGTCCTCTCCAGCCGCTCATGCACGGATGGAAAGAACTGATACAGGTGGCGGCCCTTAATAGAAGATGCCCATCTACACTGCCATTCAGTTATAAGCTCATCCCAAACGTCCGTTAATGGCTTGAACAATATAGCAATTTTATTTCGATCATGTTGTGCTAGAAAGCTTACTGACAAATTAGGTCTCGCACTATAGTACATAGCAGCACGTCGCTACACCTCAAGATCTACCGAAAGTACGCCCGCGAGCACAGGTAGGGCTTCAGTGCTAACCGTCCTATAAGCCTTACACAGGAAAATCAAGGCTAGATGCTGGCCTTGAAGAAGTTTTCGCCGTTCCGCGCCTATTGTGGCCCTATCAGCCCAGACAGGTGCCCCGTAGCACACGCATCCCAGGTAGGTTGCTCCGTATATGATCCTGAGCGTAAGAAAAGAGAGACCCCAGGTGACCCCAGAGGACCTTTTAAATTCGCGTTAGCGAATTTTTTCTTTTTGGCTTCCTCACTAATAGCCTTAAAAATGTTCAATGAAAGAAAAGTTTTATTCCAAAACTAGACCGAGATAGCAAACCGACTCCTTTCGTTTTACGGAAACGTTGTTAAATTTAATAGACGGCCACGACTTTAGATTTCCTTTAAGCAATAGCTGGTTTATACATTAAATACCTGATGTTTCAGTTGCTTGAATTATATTTTAGTTAACAAAATCCATGTACAACATAAAATACATATTAGCAAAGACATCACCGGGCTTCCTGTGTCATAATATTAAGATATATTATAAAAATAGTGTTTGAAAATCAAAACGGAACTCGAAGTGAATTAAACATTTTGGAACTTCATAAGATACAAATAATTATACTTATCCTGTTTGCCTAGAATGTTATTAAAGTGTTAAATCTCGTTAAAGTTGTTGAATGAAGGAATCCGATTGTTATATAAATTATTTTAGTAAATTATTGTCTGTATATAAGCAAGCGACCATATTGTGTAAGCTAAGGAATTATGGAACAAGATACTTGGATTGAGCTATCTGTTGGGACCTTTTAAATTGAGCAAAAATTATTGCGAATATTTTAAGGTACTGAAATTATTTTAATTTTGTATCAAATTATTTCTTACACATTCCAAACATTTTAGAATTATGGTTAAATTCGAAAACACTTGTTTAATTATTTTGTTTTTAGCCATGATCGTCCTACTGCAGAGCCTTGAAAAAAGTTGTTGATGACCAATAAAAAATCTAAAAAAAGTTACAAATCTTATGCCCTTTACAGAGTCGTTAGGGTAAAATTTGACACAATCAAAGTTTTATATTCGACCACACTTACCATATTAATATTGTAAAGTAACATTTTTGTCATCATGATCATATCAGCCATAGGACGTCGACTGCTGAACATAGGCCTTCCCAAATAACTTCCAGATAGGCGGGTAGGAAGCGTCCAGCATCCAGCGGTTCCTTGCGACTTTAATCAGGTCGTCTGTCAACCTTGCGGATGGACGTCCTATGCTGCGCTTACCGGTACGTAGCCTCCACTCGAGAACCTTTCTGCCCCAGCAGCTGTCGGTTCTCCGCGCTATGTGCTCTGCCCATTGCCACTTCAATATTCTATGGACAGATACTATGATCATATACGTATACATGCACTTCGCATCAGATAGACATTGAATTTTGAAGTTTAGTATATTAAGACTCATTTTTTTACGAACAACTATAGGTGTTTAATTTAATTTTAATATTGTACTAAAATAAATACGAAATGTTGGTCCCAAAGAGTGTTTCAATCAAACGATTAATTGTGTAAACGATGCACACGTTCTAGTCTCTAGGTATGTACATTGTAAGATATGTAAGTATTAGTTAAGCTGTATTTATTTAAACTAAACTATTATTGGATGTGTGGTACTTTGTACCTGGGCAGATAATGTTCATAGACTTTGTAGTTATTTCACAGTCGGTTTATTTTTTTGTTACAGAAATTGCTTTTGAGTGTACTTTGTAAGCTACTTGCCACACAGAGACAATTGATCCAATGATTTTAATTTGTCTATTTGTTATGAACCTTATTCAAATTCATGTTATCAAATGTTACGTGTTTAGTATCGAAATTACGTGCAAAATTTCTTGTAGTCAGTGGATTGAAATATATTAAGATTTATTACTTACAAAAAATGTATTTGTAGCCTTTGAAAAGGCTGCCTCAAATTTGGCAATAGATTTTCAACTCTATTACATAGCTATGCCTTAGAAAATCTATTATAGACCTATAATAGACACTTGTGTAGGTCTCTGTATTTTTAATAATTTTTTTTATATTATTCTGCTCAGGCAACATCGTTGCTTGTTGTTAGTATTGTTATAGACTGTGTGAGTGTGTGCCAATGTCGAATAAAGGAATGACAAAAGTGTAATTTATTTGTTAACAATAAATTATTTGTCACCAAAATATTAAATTATTTGCAAAATATTGCATTATTACTTAATCATATTTTTTCATTTACACATTTTAATAAGTAATGGAAATAATTGCTCGAATTCTTGCAACATTTTTTTATTATTTGCCTTGTTGTGACCGCTTCAAAATTTTTTGAATCAAAATTACTTTGAAAAATATTCAAAATTCCTATGTATATTGAAACTATATATTATGTAATTAATCAACTGTTATATACACTTGTCTGTATAAAAGATAGTTGTAATAAATGAAGTGTAAACTAAACGCAATAAAAAGATGGCGCTGTAAAGCGCCAATGTTAGAGGATATTCTAGATTGTTCCCTAAATGTACTTTTGTATTGTACCTAATGTATTTATTTACAAAGTTGTGTAAATATTGTTTACTTACCTATAAATGACATCAAAGTGATAATATATTGCAGAATATTCCAACTATATGTTGTTTTTATTATTCTTTGATAGAGTACCTACGTATGCTCTAAGCCTTTTGTACCTGTCGCGTAGAACCTAACGGGTTACCGTTAACCTCCGGCTCGAAGCGCAGGAGAAGGAACGGGGTGGTTTTTAGCTAGTAAGAGTCTGACACTCCCGCCCGCATTACAGCAGTCATTCGATGATTTTCCCCCTTTAAAAAAAGGCCTTTTGTATCTATATGTCCTGTATCTTTAATTAATGTGTAATGTATTGTATGTATATTAATAGTTACGTTATTTAGCAAAAATACCACCCCATAAATAACTGGATGGATGTTTGGCGCATTGGCCAGGCGTCGCTGATGACCAACGTGGCGTATCGCGGGTTCGACTCCGCCCTAATCACCCATTATTCCTTGCTTGGTATTGGTAATCGCTTACGACCACTCAACTAAGACCATACGCCTTTTTCTTTATTTATATTATATCCTAGTACCCAGGGCCTAGTTGGTAGTTAGCTCGTTTTATTTAACACGTGCCCTTATCTTGGTTATGATTTGATGATGGACGTCACCTAGGCATGTTAGGGAGCGTGGGAAACTGACCATTATTGTCACTAAGCATTCCAGACAACGGACAAAATTCCATACCTTATTCTTATCTAAAGTACAAAGGTCCAAGTTCTCTATTGTCTTGCTAACGACCAGTGCATATGACGACGACATCACGTAGATAAATTGGAGAGTGTGGAAAACTGTCTAGGTATTTTTTTTATAATAACTATCGTGAGACATACTAAATTAACTAAAATCGCGGGTTACTCCCATGAATATACTGAGAACAGCTCTTATTATTATTACCAATAATTCCAGATAATGGACACAAATCCAGACTTTATCTTATCAATAGGTAAGTATGTAAGTCCAGTCCATTGTCTACTAAAATACCGTTGTACATACACTCCCTCACAGTAAAATGGGTGTGTACATTTACTTATAATAATCTTGTTTGCTAACATACTTTAATTCATTTTTTAAACATACGTCCTTAAAATAAGTGCATAGCAAAGAGTATTCCGACAACAATGAAGTTCCCCGCCGTGATACCTACTTTACCCTTCGACAAGATCATAACAAAGTTTTATATGACCCATCATGAGGCAAATAAGTCACAAATTGAGTAGGTAGATACCTATCTGCACGAGCAATGAACCACTCTGCTTACCACATTTCTTTTTAAAGACGTATTGATATTAGGTACCATACGACATCATTCTTACTTGTCATCGTAATGAAATTACGTAAACAACCCTTACCTACCAGTCCTACCTATCTATGATAAATTCATAGTGAAGTGGACTTCAAGTGAATGCATTCGATTCGATCGACCCACGCGATGCTTTTATTAGATCCGAGGTCGTAGGACAATAATTACGAGATTGCAAGCATGCGCGTTACATGTGGGCTCCCACACTCCGGGCTGCCCCATATTCTAAGTGACCTAGTTCCAACGTCCGTTACTATTTGTCTTTCAATTGTTTGAGACTAAAGACGACCGTGTCACCTCTGCTACTGGACTAACGTAGTTAGCTAACCATGTTTGAAATGGTCACGTAGTAATAGTCATATCATATTTTCTTTTCATTGATGAGTTAGGCAGAGGTTCAATAAGTCTAGGCCCCTTCTCTTTTCCGAATATAATTTCTAGGCACCTAGTTCTCACATTACTCGCCAAACATTGTTGCGAGTCCCATATCCCGCGTAAATCGAACTTTTAATCGTTATTTTTTTACAAAATAAAATCTTTATAAAAACTCGACTGACTAGTTTGCGGGGTCATTATAACTCATCCTTCGTCTGACCCTGGCATCGTGCTTGTTACAATGTTCTAGACATAAGTTTATTCTAGAAATTCTCAATTGTCTAGAGGTCACATCAGACCCTGATGTTAGGATGTCCTAGGTTTGTTAAGGTCGTAGTTTAATTTGTTGCATTGGCACGAGCCAGTAGCATTTTCAAAGGCATCACTTGCTAAGATAAAGCAGTTTATCTCTAATAATAAAATTACTGGGTTTATTTGACAAAACTTCGCAACATAAAATTCGTAATGAGGAGAAAGAAAGCAAACAAGTCTTCAATTGCACTAAAGAATTATAATTGTCAGTGATCTCATTTTACATACACAACTCCATCAGCTGAGCTATTGAGCTGACGAGCTCTACAAACCGTGGAACACAAACTGGCTAACACAATCAACCTGTACACAACAGAGTTAGGTTCAATGGAAAAATAACAGCAAGTTGTAGTTAAAACATTAAATCAATACATTAGCAGATATAGTACCTTAACAACTATTTAGTTTTACAATATAATTTTGATATTATGCATTCAGGTAATACTATCACAGTCATTAACACCTATAATTTACTATCTACATATAGCCAAGTTTAGTCAAAATGTGAAATTATAACAAGCTGTAATAAAGTAGAATCCACATTAGAAAATGAATGGTAAAAGAACTCGTCAGCACAACCTCTTTACAACCATGCAAACATTCAACTCACAACACAAAATACAACGCAAAATCAAAAATATGTATTTCTTTAATGATGACAAACAGAACACAAGTCTACTATGAGTCTCTGTGCTTATTGTAAAATTCATCTACATATTTCTTATACGCTGGTTGGTTTGGCCACAGGTACGATGCTTGCTGGTTTAGTGGACTGTGCGTGTTTGGCTCGGCTAGGAGGCTCTGGATGGACAGCAGCACAGTACGAACATCATACAGAGCCGTCCACTTGTCCTTCAAGATATCTAAACATATTAAACCGCAGGTATCTACATTAGGGTGAAAGCATGGAGTGATGAACTTCACCATGGGTGGGGCATATGGATATGAGTTTGGGAACTCTAATGATAGTTTGTACTTGTGGCCTGCATACACTGTATCCTGAGGCCCATTTATTGTGCCAATCCATTTGAACAGGTTCTCACTCTCCGGGAATGCAGATATACCTTTGTCAGCGCAGCGCATCAACTCCATTAATTCCTTTTGCAGTCTGCCAACAAAGAAAAACAATAATTAATTCAAGTATTGTGACAAAGGAGACCTCAAGTCTACACTGAATGATAACAACAATGTTGTGATTGAGTTTAGCTTGATTTCAATAGTCCAACGCATTTTGATAGTGGATATAGCAAAACTCGAGCTCGGTCAGCTTGTGCATGATGTGTATCGAGGTCAGAACACGGTCAGAAGGTTCTTTTTTGTGAAGATACACGTCACTGACCACAGTAGACAATTTTATTAAGTCAACGTCAATTTAGTACTTAAAGTGAAACCGTTAGGCCTCCAACGGTTTATAACGTTGTTAGCTTCGATTTTGAAATTGTAACGTAGTATTCAAATAATTTGTACTATGAAGTGCATCGTAACAAGAGAAGAAATTAGATTTACACGAGTAACAAAGTAATTTCAATGTCGTGTTACTTACCGTTTGCTCACAGCATGATTATCTTTTAGTTTTATCGTGTCTTCATTTTGTTTCGCTGGATTTGACGATGATGCGTAGTGTGGATTAATATTTTGAGCCATAGTATGAGGAGCAAACAAAATCAGATGCCTCCAATTCCACCGAATTTCTGTTAGACGAAGACAACTTCCTGTTTAATTTTAAAAAGCTCAATTTTTATTGGATACTTCACACACATTTGACAGCGATACGTAATGGCGGCAATCTACGTAGAAATCAGCGCCATCTAGACCCATAAAATCATTATTAACAAGCACAGATTCACAATAGCAATCGTACATAGTTCATTCAATAATTTTGTTGTAGACTAGTAAGTAGTCTATGACCTAATATTTGAATTGTGATCTTTTTTCTTGTTTTTCAAAGAAACAAGTGTCGTGGTGCGGCGTGGCGTGGAGCCGCGGCCACCCATCTGATGTAGGTTTGGCGATCTACGCGAAACGTCTTGATCTACTAGCGTCTTTTGGCTTAGCCATGTTTCTAAAAACTGTTTCTTTATTTTAATAGCAATACTCACTTAAAAAAAGCAGGATTCAATATAATAATTATTCAACAGATACAGACATGAGACAGGTGGTAGACTAGAAATTTTAATTTCCCACCGTGATGATGAGGTATTATTAACCGAAAAGGATTCAAAAAAGGAGAAGGTTAGATAATAGTTTTGGTATCCAAAGCATTAATCTCTAAGATTCGTACGTATAATTTCGATCCAATTCGATTGCTGTAAATAAACTTATGTAGTTAATTCTAACTTATGTGGTTAAGCATTGCCATTCAACGTGGCAATGCTGCCAGTCTTTTGGACACCTTACCTCACCATAGCGATGAGGAAAATTTTTTTTGATGCATAAAGCCTAATATAATTCTTTTAAGGTGTAAAAATTTTTGTTTATAAGTATTTGTATTTTAAGTTGTATAATTATATTTAAGTTAATCTATTAATAGGTATTAAATTGTATCACCAATTAAATGACATCTATATAGGTACTTGTTTTACTGTGTCTACAATAAATTATACTTACTAGTTTAGTTAATAAGAAAGAAAAGCACGTTGATATATCATTAATAATGAATTACCTAATTCGAATACTTAGTTCTAAGTGTAAGTAGTGCGTTCCAAGTAATAAAATTGTTGCTTTGTCAGATTCACTTTCACTTTCTTAAATCATTTGAGCGTGAAATTAAAAATCAGTGACGGGATTATTTAACAGAAAAGGAAAAGTGGAGCTTACCAAGAAATCTATTTAAGATGCTGATATCGATAATTATGCTTAGTTTAACTTAACGTTTTGTTACTTAGCAGTGTAACTTGAGAAAGCTTTATTTTTGTGGGAATTAAAATGTTTAAAGTAAGTACTAAAGTATATTTTCACTGTTTTTTCCTGTTTTAGGGTGAGAATTATTATTTTATCTTAATCCGTACAATAAAGTTTTCCTTTTCTTCGGTTGTCATATAAAATCACGATTTCAAAAAAGTATATATAACCATAAAGTTCATTAATGGAATAGTTCATCAAATTCCATTCGGTCTTTATTCAGTGTTCTCAACATTAGAATTTTACCACTAAATTGGCTATGTAATATGCAGTGGAAGCAGTACAATATTTTTCTAAATAGAATAGTTACATCTTATTATTCTATTATATTCCTAAATTCTTTACGTTAAGCCGATTGTTTTAAATATCATGTTAATATTTTTTAAATGAAATTTAACAATGACGATCGATTGAATTTTTATTTTGACGTCAAATCGTCGTCATTATTAACCTTAGCACTTATTTAAAAAAAATAGTAAATAAAAATATTTGAATATTTTCTGAGTCTATTTGGCATGTCTTATAGTAATATATTATCGAAAGTTGGCAACCCTGGACATATGTCCACAATCACTCACTCCCTCCCTAATTGATTCATTCATTCATTTGGTAGAGTGCGTCACTGCATTGGACCATTGGTTTTCTTGAGTTGACGTTGACGTCTTGACGTCACGAAGTTAGTCATAAACTCATAAGTCAGTCTGTCGCAACGTAAATACATTCGTGTCGTAAACATTGTTTGAGAAAATAATATTATATTAGAGCCGTGGTGTTAATACCAATTACCAAAGTGTGTTATTTTAAAACAGTGCATTTAAAATTTCAAAATGCCTTGCGTGGTGATTTTCGGAAAACATTTTGCCACGGACCTGGATTGCACGGATGTGTTATCGTTGAAACGTGAGATTTCACAAAAACATGGTGTTCCAGTAGAAGACTTGTTGGCAACGCTCAATGGGAGGCTCGTGTCTGATGATTACGACATCAGGACATCCAACAATGTGGTCCGGTTGTCTACTAAACTTGTTGGAGGGAAAGGTGGGTTCGGATCTATGTTACGTGCTATTGGTGCACAAATAGAGAAGACCACGAACCGTGAAGCTTGTAGAGATCTCTCCGGGCGTCGCTTGCGTGACATTAACGAAGAAAAAAGGCTAAGAAAGTGGCTGGAAGGCCAGGAAGAGAGGGAAAAAGAAGCTGCTGAACGAAAACAGAAAAAGCTTGAAAGACTTGTGGCAGAACCAAAAATTGAAGTGAACTTAAACCCTACTTACGAGAAGGAGCGTCAAGACCTCCCAGAGCGTGTGAGCTCTGCAGTGGAGGCTGGGTGGCAGGCAGCAGGCTCCTCAAATACTTTGAAAAGGAAGTCTAACAGTGACAAGGCCAAACCAAAGAAAGCCAAGCTTTGGATTGATGCAGAGTTGTCTGACTGCTCATCTCTGAGTGAGGATGAGGAGGAGGAAGAGAAAACTTCAAGTCCTGGTCAGCAAGTGTCCACAGACAGTGGCAATGAGTCTGACAAGGCATCCACAAGTAGTAAATAACAGAAAATGTGTGTAAATGACTGTGCCTGTGTAATCTGTGGCAATGGTCAACAGTGCATTTAATTTTACATGAAAATGTGTCTTTTTTTGTGGGAAATTATTTATACTGTAAATGATATCTTAGTTTAGTGCATTTCCTACTTGCAACATGTTTTAAATTGCAGGTTATGATTTTAAATTATCTATATTATATAGATTAGAATCAGGCGATACTTTGCATAAATCCATGCTACACAAATAATGGCCTACATGCATATTACCTTTTGCAGCATGCAGTATGCAGCACTATTCTATCACCTGCAAATAAGTGCTCATAGAGAAGATAATTGACATAAAACACACTTACTTGCCCCCGCACTTGCCGCAGAGTCAACATTTCCTGAGAATGTGAAACAAAGTATGTTGAGTGTGGTTCGAGTGGTTTGTTGCAAGCCATGTGTTGTGTCACATCTCTGCTGTATGAGCATTTATTTGCAGGCGGGAAGACACTGCTGCATACTGCGTGCTGCGAATTCATTCCTACTGAGGAATCAAAACTAAATATTTACTCAGGTGGAATTATATAAGAACCTGTGTAAAATATTTGTAATGTTCAGTCTTTTAAATATAAAGTTCAATTTACATTGTAATACTGTTTGATATTTTTCGTAATTATTAAGCTGTCTCTTACTTTTGTAACAAAATGGAATTGATGGAATCATAACCATTTTTTGAACCTAAATTAGTGTTGTATAGTAGAATATTGTAATATTACAACTTAAAAGTGTTAATTAAGTCGGTTTTGTTATTTTATTTACTTCATGTAAATTCTTAAGATAAAGATACATAATTTGATTTGCAAAACTATGTACATATTATTTTTTTTTTGTAAATATATTATTAGCTTACTAAATTGTATTTTTATTTCTATAATATTATAGTTTCAAATAGGAAAGTCCCTAATATTGGTTGGTAGTCATAAAATATATCAACTTAAAATATCTTTAACTAAGTACTATTGATTACAAAATTACTATGAATAATTAACTAATGAGGTGTAACATAATTGATATTGCATATACCTAAAAGGCACTTAAATTGAAGTAATTAGTGACTATAAATATAACACATTTGAGTTAATTAAAGTTTAGGGCTTATTTTTCAATCAATAGTTGATTAATTTCATCTATCTATAAAGTTTTATTATTTAGTTTTATATCTAGGGAAGTTTTCATTAATTTTTGCTTACCCATGTTGGGGGCTTTCGTGAAGCGGGGGCCCCGTTTAATTAATATGGTAGATACGATCAGCTCTCACTACTAGGCTAAGGAATTACGGTGCGATTATCTCCTGCACACGCCTATCACGGTTGCGGGCCTGTAGCCTTTGTAGAATACAGATATGTATGTAAAAAATCAAAGTACGTTTTACCCCCACGGCGGTTGCGATTTTTTGCGGCTTCCGCTGCACCGGCAGGCGCGGCCGCGGTCCCGCAGCCGCGGCGTTTCTGCACCCGCGTGCTCTACTGATGGGTTCGCACGGGATTGCAATGGGAGGGCCGGTCTGGAACTCAACTGATTGTTTAACAGTATTTTAGGTACTTTCCCGCCATATGGTTTTGTAGTGGCCATTCTGTTTACTTATCTATGCTCCCTATTTCTTAAGATGTTACAAGCCAAAATTAGGTCCTAATTTCTTCAGCTCCTCTCTTCCTTCTTCGGGCAGCAAATACCTGCTATATTCTGGATATTAATGTTATGTAACTTCCAGAGGAGCTTATGGACTGCGCTGTTGCTGCTGTGTCTGCTGGTGCTAGCGGCGGCGAGGCCCCAGGACTTCGATGATGATGATGAGGACCACGGGCACGAGGGAGCTGACGACAGGAAAGGTAACCACATTTTACACTGAGTTTACGTTTGATTTTTTTGGAATAAGTCGGTAAGCGAGCTGACGGACCACCTGATGGCAAGCAATCGGCGTCACTTGGAGCACCAGAAGTATTACAAGTGCGTTACCGGCATTTAGGGGATTAGGAGTTTGAGGATTGTTGGGGATTCAGGGATTGGAGAGATTGTGGAAGAGGCAAGGGGCAATTGTGCCTCTGGTAACCTCGCTCACACGACGAAACACAACGCAAGCGTTGCTTCACGTCATATTTCTGCTCGGCCGTAATATCACTCCGCTCGAGCAGGCCCATTCGTGCCGAAGCATGGTTCTCGCACACTTAATTTTTTCTATATTTTTTATATAACTAAAAGTTTTGAGACACGATTCTGATGAATCTTAGAAGTCTATATTATTTTATATCCAAATTAAATAAAAAATACATTTTCGAATCAAATAACACAATACGACAATTCCTAGGTGAAGTTGTCGCGGCTTGCTATACTTATTTGTGTAGACGTTTTTTAGAATCAGGACGACATTTAGGTATATCGGTAACATGAATATGTTTCTGTGAGATGTGCTAAAAGGTGTTAAAGTCGTAGATCATAAATTCACAACATGGTATGGTCATTAGGTCGACAATGGACTATACCTAGAATTCCTACCTAAGATTTTATTTGCTGATAAGGATATGGTCTGGAATATATTCCATTGTCTGGAGTGTTTAATGACAATAATGATCAGTTTCCCACGCTCCCCAACTGGCCTACGTGACGTCAGTCATCAAGTCATGTTACTTTAATGCCAATTGCACGTATTCTAATATTTTTTTTTATTTTAATAAAACTTTGCCTCTTACTAGGATTTTTTCTTGTGTCGTGGGTGCGTTTACAAACATACAAGTTTACATACACATGATACCCAGACCCGGAACAACAATCTGTGGACACACAAAGAGTTGGTCCGTGCGGGATCACGTTGAGCGGCACCCAGTCGCCAAACCACCGCACCACCGTTGCAGTCTAGCTAGATACCTACAACAATTTAGATTCTAATATTTAATATTGCAGTATTTGTTGGTACAACGTTGTCACGCGTATGTGGAAAATGGTCTTTCACTATTTACCGTACAAAACGTAAATGACTGCCTCGTTGGCCGAGTGGTCGCAAGTGCGACTGCCGGGCAAGGGGTCTCGGGTTCGATTCTCGGGTCGGGCAAAGTAATTACTGGGTTTTAAAAAAAATCTCAGTAGTAACATGGAGTCTGGAATTCTGCCCGATATATGGCAATAGGCTCACCCCCTATTACATGGGACATGATGGGACTCACAGCATAAATAGTGGAAAGTGGGTGTTACATTGTACAGTGGCATAATGTGCACCTCTGCCTACCCCTTCGGGGATAAAAGGCGTGATGTTATGTTAGAACGTAAATAATTTGCCTGAATAAAAATAACATTTTCTGAATACACACACTATATGCACACATGTGTAGCTACACGACAGTTTGACTAATGATAATTAATTCTTGTCTTACAGACGACCCAGCTCGAGTCCAAATAAAGGTGTACAGGGGACCAACAAAACATGATGGATACGCACCCTGGGGATTCTGGGTTAAACAACCCTCGGATGAAGAATAACAATAGTGTATTTACTATGTAAAATCACTCATTATACAACGTGGTATTTAGCGACCTAATAAAATTAGGTACCATGTTCGTTATTTTTGTTCTAACCGCTATGGTCATACATGGATCTTGTACCAGAGCAGAAATATTGGAAACGTAGTTATTAAACATGGTAAATATTTTGTATTATGTTGCAATGCTGGTGTAGTATTAGTTTAAAAACTTTAGTTAGAAACTATTTCATTAGTCTTACTATAAATAATACAAGTTGTCGACAGAGAAACGAGTGGTTTTTATATATTTGGCTATGTAGTAGTTAATTTGTCATATAAGAACAGTTTTTTTATAAAACCAAAGATTAAATGTTAATTTGTGTTATCGTTTTATTGTTTTTTATTTGTAACTAATAATAATAAGTTTAGACGATAAGCATTGACCATGCTCGATGAGTTTTGAGCATGTTTGTCTTATACTTCTTATTCTATTACATAAAGCGAAAGAGTTTGTTTTTTTGTTTGTTTGTTTGAACGCGCTAATCTTCGTAACTAAAAGTCTGATTTGAATAATTCTTTTTGTGTCGGATGGTGCATTTATCGAGATTCGCCATAGGCTATAAAACATCACGCTACGACCAATACAACATATAGCTATATATACACATATACATAGCTAGGAGCTGAGCAGAGCGTGTGAAACCGCGCGGAGATAGCTAGTGGTTGATAAGTATGCTAATGCAGAGATAGGTACTACCTATTTGATAAATTGCTAGGTGCATGAATGCAATGGAAGCTGAAAACGCTTGTAGGTATATAGCTAAGTGCCTGTTCACCACCTTCATATGAGTACCCAATAATAATGGAACTCAAGGAACAGTCAGAAAAAAATCATACAAATCAAACCCACACTTAACATAACCTAACATCACGTCTTTTATACCCGAAGGGGTAGGCAGAGGTGCACACTACGGCACTTAATGCTACTGTACAATGTAACCCCCACTTTTCATTGTTTTTATTATGAGTCCCACGTAATAAGCGGTGAACCTATTGCCATATACCGGACATCATTCTAAATTACGTGTTACAGCTGAGAATATTTTTTAAAACCCTATAATACTTTGCTCAAACCGGGAATCGAACCCGAGACCCCTTACCCAGCAGCCGACCACTCGGCCAATGAGGCAGTGTCAGCTCTCCCGCACTAACATTTATTAATATTTATTTAATTTTTTTCTTTTTTTTATTTATTCATTTACATCAGGTAACGAAGGTATTAATACAATACCCATATTAACTAATATTAGGGATATTCCTATCTCAGACTGTACTATTTTAGAAATAAAAAACAATTTAGTAAGTAAGCTAATAATATATTTACAAAAAGTAGTGTTACACAGAGTTTTACAAATACTATTATTTTAATCCTAAGAATTTACACGGAATAAGTAAAATTACAAAACAGGTTTAATTATAAACACATTATGATGTAACATTACAATATTCTACTATACAACAATACTAATGTACATACATACTAGAATGGTTACAATTTAATTGAAAGCACTTTTTACAATTGTTAAAACGTAAAAAGTTAACAATATGATATGAAGATAAATGCGCACACTGCCCACGAGAAAGAGTCCCTCTGTGACTCGAAACTAGTAGAGCTTTTCTCAGTAAATTTACGTGAGTACATCGGTATTTTTAGTCAATTCAGTATATCTCACGATAGTAATTTTAAAAATAAAGGCAAACATATCAAACAGTTTTACAATGTAAATTACACAAATGATAGTATTACAAATATTTTACACAGGTTTTTAACAGTTTATGCAATTCCCGAGATAAAATACAAATATTCAATTATGTTTACACCTAAAACACAATAAACTAAGACGACATTTTCAATGTAATTACAAAATTATTTTTACTGTACATTAAACACGTTTTCATGTCAAATTAGACTTGACATTGTCACAAATCACGCAGACACAGTCATCAACACACATTTTCTGTTATTCACTACTTGTGGATGCCTTGTCAGATTCATTGCCACTGTCTGTGGACACTTGCTGACCAGGACTTGAAGTTTTCTCATCCTCCTCCTCATCCTCACTCAGAGATGAGCAGTCCGACAAGTCTGCATCAATCCAAAGCTTGGCTTTCTTTGGTTTGGCCTTGTCACTGTTAGACTTCCTTTTCAAAGTATTTGAGGAGCCTGCTGTCTGCCACCCAGCCTCCACTGCAGAGCTCACACGCTCTGGGAGGTCTTGACGCTCCTTCTCGTAAGTAGGGTTTAAGTTCACTTCAATTTTTGGTTCTGCCACAAGTCTTTCGAACTTTTTCTGTTTTCGTTCAGCGGCTTCTTTTTCCCTCTCTTCCTGGCCTTCCAGCCACTTTCTTAGCCTTTTCTCTTCGTTAATGTCGCGCAAGCGACGCCCGGAGAGGTCTCTACAAGATTCACGGTTCGTGGTCTTCTCTATTTGTGAACCAATAGCACGTAACATAGATCCGAACCCACCTTTCCCTCCAACAAGTTTAGTAGACAACCGGACCACATTGTTGGATGTCCTGATGTCGTAATCATCAGACACGAGCCTCCCATTGAGCGTTGCCAACAAGTCTTCCACTGGAACACCATGTTCTTGTGAAATCGCACGTTTCAACGATAGCACATCCGTGCAATCCAGGTCCGAGATAAAATGCTTTCCGAATATCACTGCGCAAGGCATTTTGAATTATTAAAGCACTTTTTCAAAATTTATGTATTTTCTTACACGACGTCTACGACACAAGCGTAAATGCGACTGACTACGAAGCACGACTGACTTCAACTGATGTCACAGAATCACTGAACTTGTGACAGTGGCGCACCTCTACAAGCGAATGAATGACCTAGGGTGGGGGTAAATGTTGCTGATACGTTAAGAGATAAGGTCAGAAGCCTTGTCCATTGTCTGGCATTATTGGTAATTAACAATAGTTGGTCCCACGCTCGCCAACCTTACCTGAAGTCGTCGTCGAGACAAGTTCGTGTTATTTCGATGTAAGTTACAGGTTGTAACATTACCTAATCAATAATCTTACTTCTTACTATCTTACTAATATTATAAATGCGAAAGTTTGATACTCAATCACATCAAAACGGCTAAAGGGATCGAGTTAAAATTTCGAATAGGGATAGATTTTGATCTGGAATGACACATAGGCCACTTTTATCCGACAGGAATGCGGGCGAAGACGCAGGTAGATGCTATTATTATAAAAGTTGTGACGTCATTACTTTTCTTTCCCCGGGTGTTGTAGGGTCACATGTCACAGACACCGGGCAGCAGCGCAATGTTTTCTGATAAACTTCTTTTAAAATTAATGTAATATGCATTCCGTCTGCCGAACGTCCATTTTTTGTGTAAAAATTACTATCGTGAGACATATGCGAAGGAACCTATTTGCAAATCTTATACTTCTATTCTAATATTATAAAGAGGAAAGATTTGTACCTATTTTTGTATGTTTGTACTGAATAGGCTCAAAAAGTACTGGGCCGATTTAAAAAATTCTTTCACCAATAGTATGCTACATTCTTCCAATTTGAGATAGGCTACATTTCAGTTTGAAAAAAATTAGGGATTCTTGGTAAAATTTGAACAATGTAACCGAAGGTGTAGAAAAATGAGTCTTTAAATGTCTTTCGTCGAATGCGCTGCCGAAACTATTAGCGATAGAACAAAATAATGTACAACAATATTGAAAAATCTACAAAAATCTCCGCGGTAGCATATGTCCAACTATTGTAGTTATGTCACTACAACAATCCAAATTTTCAAAAATAAATAATTGTCTACCCCGTGCGAAGCCGGGACGGGCTGCTAGTATTATATGAAGCGGAAGAGTTTGTGTTTTTGTTTGTTTGTTTGACCGCGCTAATCTCCGTAAATACAAGTCTGATTTCAATAATTGTTTTCGTGTTGGATAGGGCATTTATCGAGGAAGGCTATAAACTATAATACATCACGCTACGACCAATAGGAGCTGAGCAGAGCGTGTGAAACCGCGCGGAAGTAGCTAGTACATAATATGTTTCTAAAACATTATGTTGTTACACAGGTGGGTGACTTAATTAACAGTCTTATTGGTCTACCATGACAGGAAATGTTGGGCTGCATATTGTTATACTTATTTGTGTAGGCATTTTTAGAATCATCCGTCAGAAGAGTATGTTGACGAAACCTAATATTGTTAAGGATCTAACTATGTCAATGTGTAGCATCCATACCTTTCAGTGAGAGCTGTGTAACGGTATTTTAGTTGTTGTCACGGTGTAAACAATAGCCTTCCGATGAGATAAGGATGGGGTCTGGAATTTTGCTCATTGTCTGGAATGTTTAATGACAATAGTGATCAATAGTCAGTTCCCACGCTTCCTAACTTGCTTACGTGACCTTACGTAAGTGCGCCGTAAAGGGCTACGGTAGGCATCTCGACGCGGAGAACCTAACGGGTAACCGGGGCCCCGGCTCGACGTGCAGGAGAAGGAACGGGGTGGTTTTTATTCAGTAAGAGTCTGACACTCCCTCCCGCCTCACCCAGGCGACAGGTGGTGATTTTCCCCCCTTAAAAAATAAATAATAAGGCATCTCGATTAAACAACGCTGGGTCTCCGACTCTCTGGGTTTTAAATGTTTTGCTCTAGAAGTCATTAGACTTCTTACGACGATATCACAAAAAGTATTCGATTGATACAGTGTTAGTGGTAATTTTAATCTACACTGTCTTACGGCCGTTCCCAATATTCAATCCATAGGTAAAGATAGATAGCTATCCTCGATAGTCAGTTAAAAGCTATCTATCTTTCGATGTCGTCCCAATAACTAAAATGTGTCTTTGCTATCTCTAGATATCAGTAGATAGGGTGCCTATCTGAGCCCTCCCATGTGTTTCATTGTATGCAGAGCCCCACAGAGTGCCACTAAGTTACAATAATGTTTTCAAAGCATCTTGTCATGTTTATATCACAAACATTTTGAATTAATTAACGATACCTTATATTTTGCACAAATTTTATAGTAAACAATATATTTTTTTAAGTTAAATATAACGAAAACTTCATGTTTGCGACTGGATGAGTGCGCGACTTGTAACGGAACGTGTTTGTTAAAACATTGACATTTGACATTGTTGTTTGTTGATTTTGTTTACAATAAATTATGATAATATAACAAAGAATTGTTTGTTATAATAAATGAGCTCAGTAAGTATTACAGTTTGTGCTTTTCTAGCTTTAGATTGAAGCTATTGAAGTTTAGTTCTATGGCTTTCACTGAACTTTTATACTTGGATTGTTGAATATTTTTTGTTGTTTGCATGAACATACATGTGACTAATAACTCGTGTTTGGTGCACTCATTGTAGCAAAAGAATATGCTATTGACGAAAGAAGAAGTAATGCAGCTGGTACAATTGGTGGAGGCAAATCCATTGATGTTCAGCAAAGTCACAAATGCCAGCAATAACCAGCTCAAGGATGCGACTTGGAGGATTAGGTATCACAGATAGTTTCTTGTATATTTCATTTTTGGGGTTTGGTATTGGTTATGACTATTTACTTTTCAATACTGTTTAGTTATAAAACTTTTATATGGTGAGGAGCAAAATGGAATAATACACTATAAATAATATTATAATTATAAATAATATTTTTCTAGGAAAACAGAAAAGGCGAGCTGATGCAGATGATATGAGTCAATAACAGATCGAAAACAAATACATGCATTAAAGAAACGGAAACTCTAGCTAGATATACTGGAGAAGGAGAAACAACCCAATAATAATTCATATAATTAAATAAAATAAAACAGTTTATTCTAAACCATCTTTTTATTATACTATGCATTTTGCACATTCAATGTTTATCTCATTTCTCGTCCACTGGAACACTTAATTAAAATAAAGATGTAGGTATGAATAACGGACAAGTATATAATTCTCTAATTTAGTCTTCTTAGCCTAAATCTATACACAAACTCGTAATCGTCATATCTGTACATGTAATTAACACGCTCTTGATACGGTCGTGTTGTGGTAACCACATCGTCCTCGTCAGATTCCCAGTTCCTTATTTGTTTCAAAATATCAATAGCACTTGAACTACTACTTGAACTGGAGTCCGAAATGATTTTTTGTTTAAATCTGATGTATTTTTAAGAAATAGATAAGATATATATACTGATCTTCACTGATAACTATACTCCTATCCCTCAAAATCCTGCGATAGAGCTAAAGCCTACTAGGGATAACCAAAGTCACTGACAGATAGCACCTTTGTTATTATTGGGACGCATGAACTGTCAATTTCATATTAAAAGCAATCTGTAGATAACCTATCCGTCCTCCCACAGGTAATGACAACCATAGATTAGTTTGCCTATCGCCAGTAAGTTTATTGAGACGGCAAATTTAAAGATAGATAGATTTTTCTATCTCCAGTAGGGCAAAACAATGGATAGATAGAATATTGGGAACGGCCGTTAGCTAACTGACATTCATTTAAATAAAGACTAATACTGAATTTAAAGGTCTCTGCACACGTCGCCGTCCCGTCCCGCCGCGCCGCGCCCGCTGTGTGAACCTTAAGAAAATATCTCTGAAAATAGTAATCGAATATTTAAGTAAAATAAAGTCACGTCACCGTGTTTAGAGTATAATTCGTTGTTTTATTTTGTCGGTGCACAAAAGAAAACCGCTCCGAGAACAAACCAATAGTGGGACAACGGCGTGAGTTTACGGACCTACGCATGTCTATTCCTATATGTCCATACATTCCCAGTATACGACATTGTTACACAATTTAGTGTGTTCCACCCAAAGACTATTCAGCTAAGCATGTTTTCATAACATTACATTGAAAACATAAGAAGAGCGGTAAAATGCTGCATTTAACAATTTTGTTAACTGAATAGCTACTGTTGAGAGTTCTACTAATATCCTATTCCTACATATATTATAAAGGCGAAGGTTTGTTAGGATGTATGTGAGTGTTTGTTGTTCTATAGTCTATGGTATGGTATGGTATGCTCTATGGTAAATTTAGAAAAGGGATAGTTAGATAGGTCGAAGCCATCGGTAGAAGCTAGTACCCAACGCTAGCTACTCAGTACATGTCTATTGACATGTACGACATACAGCCAGCTAAGTTAAGTACCTAATTGGTATGAAAGTGAGAAAAACTGGATTGGTTCAGGTACAAATGCAATATCTATTAGACTTGTGCTTAATAGTTCGCGACTAAGATCACTCAGATCAGTTCGCCGCTCCTAAACGAACTAGTTCGCTCTTTTAGTTCGTCAGCTCCCGACTCGCAGTTGGAGTTGGAATTGGAATGAATCGTATAGGAACTAGGAACGCACTGGCAGCCAAATCGCTCCCTAGTTCGTCAGCTCCCGACTCCCAGTTGGATTTGGAATGAATCGGATAGGAACTAGGAAGGCACTGGCAGCCAAATCGCTCCCTAGTTCGTCAGCTCCCGACTCAGCTCATGACTTTTCAAGATCATATTATTATGTTATCGCATTTTTTAGTTCGGTCTTCACCATAGACTATACATATAAACGACTTCACAATCCTTGTACTTGTACTTTGAAATACGAACTAAGGAGTTGGGAATGACGTGAACTAGTTCGCATATTTTGAATGTGGGAGCGCTCTTTTGAACTAGTTCGTTCGCGAACTACACAAGCCTAATATCTATGTGATTAATTTTATAAACTTATAATAATGTTTTCAGCTTACTCAAGTACAGTTACTTCAGAAATACAGGATACAGGAAATTGTATTACAGTCGAGTTCATCATCAAACAGTTTTGATGATGAACTCGACTAGTTTCAAGCCATGCTAGGTTGCGCTGCTACTCAACTACTACGCAAGTGAAACAAGTGAATTTATTTCTGCAAATAGGCTACAACGCAGCACTTTTACACGTCAATTTTACAACAACAAGCGAACGATGAGGTCGACATTTCCTAACTGACTACTCTGAGAAGAAATGCCGAAACAAACTCAGAGGTCTGTCTCTTTTAAAGTCCAGACAATAACCTAGACCAGGACGGTGGATATAAGGGCCCGTACTAAGACCCGTGAAACAATGGTTTACGTCGGAAGGAACACCGGTGTCCGTCGAGCTAGTCGGACAACCACTCCGTATACTCCGGACGTTCAACTGTACCAGGCACCACCGTACGCGTCAGTCACGTACCTTGGCCATCTACCATCCCTGGCCTGGGCGACTTCTGCGGGAATTCCAGTAGGGAAGTGCCTACCACTGCAGGGGTGACAACAGACGGGCCGTGAACCCACGACTTACAAATTTGTGAGCCTCCGTTAGAGTTAGAATTAAACTTTTATACGGTACACGCTCGTTTTATTCCGTAAACTAGTAGGGTAAACGGGTGGAGGTTACACTGGCGTTAATAGATTCTGGGCATCTTCCTTATAAATCTGAGAATCTTTTGAATCGAGAATTTTAATTTTGTCCAACAATTATCTATAACGATATAATCTATAGATCAATGGTTGTCCTTGTTACTTGATTAATGACACTTTCTCCTCATATTGTAACGCAATGAACTTGTTGATACTTGTTCCTAAAATGATTAAGACTTGTATTGTTCCGTCCTCGATGCTTATCACACTCTATAGTATATTAACTTCTGGATATTAAAAAGCCACAAATGCATGTACTAGAAGTAAACATAATTTCGTTATTGAGCGAACCATTTTGATAGGAAATTAGTTATTTTTGTTTATATTTGAGTGGATGTTAGAGTGACCGTCAAATATTTTTTGTAAGCAGTTTTTTATGGTAAAAGCCGGTAAATGAGCAGACTGATCACCTGATGGTAAGCAATCGCGATTTAGGAATTGGGCTGTTGGTAATCTCACTCACACGACGAAACACAACGCGAGCGTTGTTTCACGTCGGTTTTCTGTGAGGCTGTGGTATCACTCCGGTCGAGCCGGATCATTCGTGCCGAAGCATGGCTCTCCCACACTCAAAACACTTCTTTGATATAGATACCCTACAGTTTTTACATTTGTTATTTTCAGTACCACCATTATAAATCCATATGTGTTTGGCATTCCGTCGTCTGTGCGTTGATTATTTACGTGGTTTATCTCATGAAGATGTCGGCGCTGAGTCCAGCTAATAACGTATTTGGACATCAGGATTTTATACAGAGTGATTGTAGTCTGCTCTCTATAATTTAAGCTCTTGAATATCTGGGACAGCTTTAAGAAACCAATTTAGGGCTTGTAGTATAATACGTTTATGCAATAAAGGTACCTTTGGAATTATTTTAACAACTTACAAAATACCAAGACACGGCATGTAGTTTTGTTGAGATTACCATTGTTTATATATGAAATAACTTATGGTTTCAGATGGTACAATTAAAAAGGAGTTCTAGTTTTATTTTAAACCCTTAACTGAAACAATTTGCAATCGATAGATAAAGATATGAGTGTTATCTATAAAGAGTGCTTAAGCAGCATTTTAGCGCATGAGTTCAGTGGGTATTAGACATCGCAGTGCATCAGTCGTGTTCGCCATGTGACCAGTGGATAGTGGGCTCAGTGCCAGCCAGTGACCATCAGTGACCATCATGTTCGGGCTAATCATCAGGATAGTTACCAAAAAGACCCTGGTCATCTTCAGATACTTTGGTGAGATATTATTTTTTAATTTGTATAAGTAGTTATTTAGTTTACGAGTGATGAAAAGCGAAGTATACAGTTCGTAATTAATATTTCATTTATTGTTATGTAAAAATAAGGTTCCATGCAACGCCAGTTGACAATTAACTGAACAAAAAATCAAGTTTAGTAGGCACAATGTTAGTATAATTACATCCTTACTAATATTATATTTAAATCCGAAAGTTAATTTGTTTGTTGACCTTCCTTTCACTCGACTTAGGCCGTTTTTTGAGGAGTTTTTGTGTTTGGAGATAGTTTAGAAGCTGGAGAGCGATAAAGGATACTTATTTCCTTTGACTTCGTAAACGGTGCCACGCGTGGAAAACTAGTTTTACTATGATTTGTTTTATCATCTGAAATAGAATTGAATCAGCTATTGACATTCCACTTGTGGTGGTAAATCTAAATATACGATAATACTCTAGTACCTACCAGAGGTTGACAAGTTCAATTCCAAGGTAATTTTATGACTAAGTAATATTAAGTATGGTTAATCATCAAAGTTCAGAAGCACATCCACCTACTCTTATTCCAATTTTATTAAGCGATTGTCGACTTTAATACAGAAATGATAAAGGTGAAAATGGTCTCCATGGAAAGCCATTTTTGCAAATATGTGCATCACCTAAGTACGTAACAACAACAAACTTTTAACAAATGTTTATAAATTCAGCAATTAATGGGAGACAGGAGCCCGTACTAAGCAGAGCCTGTGTTATGGGTCTCCTGGAAAGTACAAGTAGTCTTGAAATAATTGATGAATGAAGTGTTTGACTCATTATTCAGTAAAATTGTGATTGATAAAAGAAGACACTTTATAACTAACACTATAAGTAGACACTTATAGTGTTAGTGAAAGAATGAATGAAAGAAAGGAAAATAGTTTATTTATCTATATCTATTATCTACTAGCTTCTGACCGCGACTTCGTACGCACAATCCCGCGTTCTGCCGTTCCGATTTCTGTCGTAAGAACCTCCTCCTGACAACAAAAAAAAGATCAGCCAAATCGGTCTAGCCGTTCTCACGTTATGGCGCGGCGTGCCAACGGGAAACTGGTTTCACTTTTATATACATATATAGATTACATATAATAAAATCGTAAAAAAGTCAAAACTGTACATTTAATATTTTTTGAAACGAATACTTGCGACTTATACTTATACTGGGTCGGGTCACCATATAGGCTACATATTATCACGCTATCATCTACGGGGAAATTGCTATAAACCGTTATTCTACGCTGACGAAGTCGTGGGCAACAGCTAGTTTAGTATATTAAAGAGATATTGATATGATCAGTGTTGAGATAACTATGTAACCAGAGAGTTTGAGTTCAAATCTAGAGCCAAACAGTTCGTCTTTTATGTACTTTCCACAAAATATCAATATTTTGTTCGACTTAAGAGTGAAAACTTTTGAGAGGGCAGGCTTGCGACCGAATGACCAACACACTTGTTCAATAATTTTGTTTTATAACTATCGTGAGATATAGTCAATTGACGGTCGAAATATAACCGCGCATACAGTAGTACCTGGTTGCATGGTTTCATATTATGTTTTACAATTTATAACGACGATGGATGGTCTCAGGTGCAATTTCCGTGTCAAACAAAACACTATCTTCAATTTCACTTTATATATGTATATTTTGGTCTTCATAGACTAATATTTCCCACTACTAATTTGTACTAATGAACTAATTTGTCCCATAAAAAAAGTCAGAAGCTGGAATTGAATCCGGTATATGGCAACGGCGTCGCCCTCTATCACATTATGGGTCTCTTTTATTGGGTTACCTAATAAACGCTGGGTTGAATTTGAAGCACCACTGCATACAAATTCAATGGAGGTATAAAACACTGAACCCTACTAAAGCGTTATTTAGTACAATTGTAAAAAAAAGAGAAACTTGTTAAATGTAAGGCATTCGCACAAGTCTCCTTGCAAGTTTATCTAAAACACACACAGGGACTCGCAAACATTACTATATATGATGACTTGGGACTCTCAACATATACAATATTTCCTGTTTGGACTACAAAGGGCCTTTTATATATATTACAAAGAAATTTGCCTCAACTCTAGAAAGATAACAGGTTACACTTGATCGAAGACATTCCCGTTCTTAGTAATATCGATAGCAACAAAATATAACAATTTTAGGCGCATTATCTTTTTAAATCTGAGTTTAGAGGCGAATTACCTCATCGCCCCTATTTTTTTTTGCGCGTTGTATGTACACACGGCTACACATAGTACACATCAAGCTTTACATAACCAACATAACATAACATAACATCACGCCGTTTATCCCCGAAGGGGTAGGCAGAGGTGTACATTATGTCACTGTACAATGTAACACCCACTTTTCACTATTTATGTTATGAGTCCCATGTAATAGGGGGTGAGCCTATTGCCATATACCGGGCACATTTCCAGACTCCGTGCTACTACTGGGAATTTTTATAAAAACCCAGTAATACTGTGCCCGACCCGGGAATCGAACCCGAGACCCCTTGCCCGGCAGTCGCACTTGCGACCACTCGGACAATGAGGCAGTATAAAGTGAACGTTGAATGTGCGGAAAGATGATGCGACGCGGCACCAGGATAAACTGGTTTTGTATAGATATTTTTTTATGGCATAAGTCGGTAAACGAGCAGACGGATCACCTGATGGTAAGCAATCGGCGTCGCCCATGGACATCTGGAACACCAGAGGTGTTACAAGTGCGTCACCGGCTTTTTGGGGATTAGGAGTTTGAGGATCGTTGGGGATTCAGGGATTGGGGAGATTGGGGAAGGGGAAGGTAATTGGGGAATAGATTGATGTGTGGCCGTGTGTAATGCACGTCTTACGGCGTCACGGCACCCTAATTTGTCTCAGCGATAATGCAGCTCTAGATGATGTCTTGCCCGAAAATGAGGGCGCTATGAATTGGGTTCAACTTTCGGAAAACACGTACGGAGGAAGGAGAGGAAAACTTATTCATCTACTGGAACTTAGATTATATAATTTCATTCAACCTAGTAATAGAATCGAGCTGGCACTCAAAATGTTTATAGCCACTACACTGTCAGTCAAGAGTCGCTAATGTTTTGTTTATGAATTTAGCTTTAGCTGTGCTATCAAGTGACGTCACATTTGTCTAATTAATGACGTCATGGTGACGTAACTACTCGAGATTACAATGCTGTTTAGTATACTAATGAAGTGTGTGATACTGTCCTTTGTTTATGTGTAAACATAAACTCATGCTTTTCTGTCGTCTGAGGCCGAACCGACAGAGCGCCATCTACTGTCATGCTTACAATTAAATACTTTCCGAGCTTGTATCATGTTGTACTGCTACCTTTTTTTTGATGACAGGGGGAACCTTCAAAAGGCGCCAAGCTTTTTGGGGATAAAAGACTAGGTAGTGTGGAATTTTTATCTCACTAAAGCCACCCCGGTGGCCACCCTCAACATTTGTATGGAGGCACCGAGTCCTCTAAAAGAGACTTGCACCGGAGCCTCCACGGTGCAACGCCTGTTACGACACATCCCTAGGAAGACGGGCGTCTCCTTGCTGTGTACGGCGGCATGTGACCACTGTGCCACCGTCTTCTCTGAGACCACAGAGCACGAGATTTTCTCCGTATGAGATCATATCGCTATTACCTTTTGCATATCTTTTATCTAGGTCTACTTTCATTCCTCTCAGCATGTCTAACCCAAGTTGGTGTACCCTCCTCAATTTTTATCATTATCCCACTTCTTATGATAGTCCTTCATTGATTCACACTGATATTTATTTATAGTACCTAATACTTGTTGTGAAGTGCCGTCGTGACTGTTAATTATCGCATAACTTCCTCTCGGCAACAGCATGGGTAGAACAATGTTAGTTAAGTCCGGATGCAGACTAAGCTATGGATACATATTCACAGTACATACATATATATCGTCACACCTGTCTCTCACTGTGGTAGGCAGCGATAATAGAACGCCAAATGACATGAGTATCTAGATATGGATAAAGACTATTATGCAGAATTTAATGTGTGGAGCTGTTGGGCAGGGTGGTGGTAAACTTTGCAATCCAACAGGCCTACTTATTATATCTGTTTTGTCTTCTCCAAGGCCTTAGACTAAGTGTAGTGGACGTTGCAGTAGATAAATCTTCTAACCATGAGAAAGATACTGCCGCACTTGCGTAGAAATTATATAATGTTTGTATGAATAATAGTACAGCTTCTATTTGAGCTGACGAAGTTTATGTCTATTCATTTCTACCCTAGTGCTGGAGTCCCTCAAGGTTACATCATCTCGCCATTCCTGTTTAATCATTTATAAAGTGTTCCTTAATGTTTCAGGTCGTCCAAAGAGTTTCCTAGTACTGCTGCCTATAGTGTGGGCGCTAGTGGCGTTCGGGCCCGCCATCTGGTGGCTGGCGGTGGAAACTAGTAGACACCTTCTGCTGCCATCCCCGCCCACTCAGTCACTGGAGCACTATCGAAGAAATAGAAGCTTGCACTATTACTTGGATGATATGTAAGCATGATAATTATATTAGACATTGTTTTGGTTCGGTTCTCGGATTAAGAAAATAATTAGGTGTGGTTGTTACGTTGCGGGTTCTATCGGGGAGTAGAAGACGCGATATATTTCTAATTCAAAGGCCCTTTTAGTAGAAGAAGACATTGCTGAAGAAGAAAACTCAACATTTGCTACAAAGAACTTAACTTCTGATCTTCTTTAGATAACAAATTGATAGTATTTCCTCTAATTTTTTTAAAGCTCCTCCCATATAATTGTTTCAGCCAGACCTTAATTGAACCATCATTGCTTCCCTGCACAACCCCAGATGAGATGGTGGTGTTGGTGCTGGTGGCCAGCGCCCCCCTCCGCTTCGACCACCGGCAGGCTATCCGCAAGACCTGGGGTGCACATCTACCTACGTACTTCGTGCTCGGTCTGCAAGGAGACAATATTGATGAGCAGCTGGTCTGTGGTTTTAATAATATTTATTTGGTATAGTTGTTTTGCTTTATATGACTTTGAATATACGTGTTTGGGTTTTCTATCAGCGAATATAATAATATGGTCATCTATGGTGGTGTAACTGCTGAGCCATGCTCTTACTTTCAAAAACTTATTCGATTGCTATAAACTCACGAGGTCCAGAATTGGTTCGGCGTATAATGTCGTAGTTTTTGTGTTTATCTGTTAAAAAAATGTAAAGAAACATAAATGTGTCGCTAAAATTCCAGGTAGATAACTACGTAGAAGGAAAGCAGTATAGCGACCTGATAGTCTTCGACTTCCATGACCACTACCAGAATCTGACGCTGAAGACCGCGCTTATGATGAAGTGGACCCTGCACCGTTGTCCTCAAGCTCAGTTCCTATTCAAGACTGACGATGACGTCCTGGTGAATCCCTGGACACTTCGTAAAGTCTTGAACGAGAATGAAGATACACTACTACTGGGTAACGAGTAGTTGAAAAATAAGTGTAACGTTCTTGTAAATCAGTGGCCGGTATTTTCAAATTGTAAACTGGAGATAATAATATATATTATAAACAGTGTAGTTTTACAGTATCTTCACTTATTTATTTAGTTATGTTTTGAATTATTTAATACCTATTTGAACGGAGGAGTTGGGGCCCTAAATAAAAATTCATATCTTATTAATATATCGACCGACTGGATTTGAATTCGTAATATAAAACTGTTGAAACCACAAAATCATGCTTAATCCCGAGTTACTGCTAAACCAACCTAATTTTTTTTTGTATAAAGTAGCAATTTTATATTCATACATAATCAACTGTTAAAGATACTACCTATACCTTTATCCAAGTCCTAAATGTGCAGGCTACAACAAACGGGACTCGTACCTGCACCGCGACGAGTACAAGAAGTGGTACACTCCTCGCTGGATGCTGCGGGAGGACTACGTGTCGCAGTACCTCAGCGGCACTGGATACCTCATTAGTGGTGAGATCATCATTTATTGGACTAGTATATTGGGCCCGGGAATGTCCACAATCAGCCAGGAGAAACACAGCTCACTGTGATTATTAATTCTTAAAGCGATGTCGCCTACCAAGTTTGGGGTTAATAGTAAACCGCTCCTTAAACTGTCAAACACCAAGCGGTCACCGGTGACCGCAACCTATTGTTCTATAATTGTGTCTGCAAAACCGGTACTCGACGAGTTAAATGAGAGGTTTTTGTTCTGCAACGCTGAATACCTTTTAGTTGTTTTTATAATAACTATCGTGAGACATACTAAGTTGACCAAAAATCGCGGGTTACTCACGTGAATATACTGAGATAAGCTCTACTAGTTTCGAACTACAGAGGGGGATTTTTCTCATTAGTAACGTGCGCGGTCGCGGCGATGTCGCGCAGCCTACAATAGGCTATAGTAAAGCTTTTCTCAGTATATTCACACGAATAACCCGCGATTATTAGTTAATTTATCTTTTAATTGTTTACAATAATTATTTACTAGCTTGTATAGCTAGTCCAGAATTTAATCGGGATAAAAATCCCCTAATCAAATTCTGTTATTTCATCAAAGAAAGTTTCACATTTATAAGTGTGATTGATCTTTAAATTTTAATTACTATTTATTTTCACTGCGATGTTTAGTGAATAGATAAAGTTTTGAGATGCATTTAATGTTTTAGGCTAACCGATAAACTGAGTTCCTACAACTTCCTAACATGCAAACATGTTTAATTGATTTTTGCTATTCTACTTTGCTTGCTACTTTCAGGGGACTTCATATCAAAACTATTGAAAAACGCCTACGAGGTGCCGATGGTGAACTTGGAGGATGTTTACTTCACCTACCTGGTGGCATATCGGCGTTTAGGCTTGAAGCTGGCCCACGAGCGCCGGCTGAGCCCCTACAAACCCTGGCTAAAGGCCTCCTGTCTATACTGGGACCTGGCTTCCGTGCACAGCATGGAACCAGACGAGATGGTTACCGCGTGGATCAAAATAGAACAATACGGAAAGTTGGACAATCACAGTGATGTTTGTTGGTTTTATAACACGTACTTAAGGGACTTCAGTGAATTGGCGTTGTATTAATATTGTAGCGTTTTATTATAATTCGGATGGTGAATAATTGTGATCATAGCGATTGGAAATATTCTCAGAAAAAATCAATTTGAAAACTGTTGAAGACCGGTTCGGTGAAGCGAAAAGAAGCAGCATACTAAATATTTTTTTATTTATTAACATTGTTAAATTGTTCTAAACGTTTGTGCGAGATTCTGTGTTTGAACAAATAGCGCTGAATAAGGCTGATTTGTTATAAATTAAGGTTTTTAATGTTATTTATTAAGTACCTAAAGTATTCTAAAGTGAAGTAGTCTATTTTTCGTTAATCCTCTATCAATTATTTCTAACATAACATAACATAACATCACGCCTTTTATCCCCGAAGGGGTAGGCAGAGGTGTACATTATGCCACTGTACAATGTAACACCCACTTTTCACTATTTAAGTTCAATTATTTCTATCATAAAGATATCAATAAGTCCATACAACATGTGCTTGGCGACTGGGCTTCACCCAGTTGTACAGTCTCTTCTTTGTGCCTTTAGGCTTAATTCATTCTGTCTCCTGCAGTAATTCACCGAGGGAAGTGAAAACCATAGTTTTTCTTCTTCTCCTCTTATAATATCTTCTGATTCACTTCGTTGCGGGAACCAAGACAGTTACTCATGTCCCTGGGACGCGCCGTACTTCAGTGTTCCGGTGTTTTCATGGTTGTATCTACTGTAGATCCTCCTTACAGGAGTTGCAGCGGTTTTGGGAGGTTGTGGCGGGCTTGTCCCATTAAAAAGAAAAAAAAAAAACATCCATACAAGAAAACAAAAGAAAGTCTGACTGAAAGGTTTTGTAAATTGAATTCATGTTCTATTACAGTAAGGACCATACCTCACAGAAACCGACGTGAAGCTTGACCGAGTTTCGTCGTGTGAGTGAGGTTACCGGAGGCCCTGAATCCCCAACGATCCTCAAATTCATAATCCCCAAAAGGCCAGTAACGCACTTGTAACGCCTCTGGTGTTCCGATTGTCCATGGGCGGCGCCGATTGCTTACCATCAGGTGATCTGTCTGGTCGTTTACCGGCTTATGCCATAAAAATTCAGTTTCACAATGTGTGCATAGCGGCTGTGTACTAGATAGAATGTAATCTATCTGCCACACAAGTTTGCCGGGTATATACAGTACCGTCTTTACCATAGGAGTACTCGGGGTCTGTGCCCAGGGCCCCCATCATCAGGGGGCCCTGAAGGACCCACAAATTGTTGTTCCGGGTGTATGTGAACTTGTATGTTAGTAAATGCACCCACGATACAGGAGAAAATCAAAGTGTGATGCAACGCAAAAGGGCCCCTTCTTGTGTGCTCAAGGGCTCCAGCGTAGCCTAAGACGGCCCTGGGTATAGTACACTTAGGTAGTGAAACAGGCGCTAAGTATAAAGATGTATAATTATATTGATATATGTACCTGATATCTTGTTAATATATATAATTACTAATTAGGCCTTTGAATGCCAATAAAAAACTGTTGAAGGCAAATCCCCCGCTAACGTCGGTCACCGGTGACCCTCGTGGCGTTTAACGTGTTAAGAAATGTCTATTTTTGTTTCATAAATAAATATTTTCTTGTTGTAATTATTTTTAATGTGTTATTTACTTGTAATATATGTATGTAGGATCAGGGTCCGATATTATTTGAAAATAAAACAAAGGGCTTCACACAATCACTTAGTTTATTTCGATTAAATGAACTTACTTTCACATTAATTTTTAATTATAATAATTGAATAATTCAGCACTGATTATATAAAGGAAACACTCAAATAAAACCAACAATAAAATTACTCAGCGATTGCGTAACGTGTGAACTGGGCAACGATCGACGAACGACTGACTCGAGCTAGCGCTTGCGCTGCTTTATATATCACTCGGTGGTGGGGTTGAAGTGACGTCGGTCAGTTGTTTGTTCACTGCTCGCCCATTACATTCGCAGTTTACAAAATAATGACGGCGGCGCCGACA